TGAGTGACTGAAGGTTGTTGCTAACTGCCTAGCAACGCTAGCAGCCGTAGATATTAAAAGTTTTGAAAATGTGCAACAAAACAAAAAAGCTGAATTTCCCAGATTCACTGTGCTACCAGCTGCTATGACACTGAGCTCAAACGTTAAAAGCACAGCAGGACGTCAAACCCTACAGATAAATGTTCTAGGAGAAGTAATAACAACAGGTAAGATGAGGAACATGTTCTCCAACAAAGACAAAACAAAGGAGGTTATAATGACAGTCCCAATGCCAGTCCAATCAGAGACTTGAACTGACCTTTGACCTCTGTGGCTATTCTTAGCAAGCCCCATATTGTTGCCCTCTGATTCACACTCAGATTGGCTCCATCACTATCACACAATGGGAGGTCAATCAGGATCAGCTAACAGCTAACAGACAATACAAGTCAACAGGGAGGGTTAATGACTTTTCGACCCGGCGGCTCAAGTCCTGGTTCAAACTACAAAAGGCACTTTCGCTTGTGTTTTTATAAGATATTGAAGTATAATAAGTGTGACAGAAGCAGGGTCATTGTGCGGGTTATCTGCAGTGTAATATTTTGTCTGGTAATCAGTGAATATTACAGCACTATTGTTGATGTGCCTGGCCAACTGTGACTGATGTTTGTGTTTTTTAGACTACTATTTTTAGCCATTTAGCCCAGGGCTCGTACATGCCGAAGACTGAATGCTCGCCCTCATTGGCACTGAGAAAATGATAAATATGATTTAATTAAACATAAACACTCTCAACTAAATATTTAAAACAAAATCAAACCAACACAAATATGTTTGGATTGATTTCACTGGGATTTGAGCAGATAAAACAAACTGAAGTGGCTGCTTTTGGATGTTCCGCACTAGATAAAGCATCATTTATTATTTCGATTTTTTTTTTTGCAGACATTTGTCATTTAAGGACACTTTTAAAAATGCAGCAGCACAGTGGAAACAATTAAGCCATTATTTTACTTTTACTTGAGTGTAACTTCCTAACTGACAGTTTCCCATTTGAGCAACAGTTGTTTCCTCCACATTGGTGGCAATTTATCATACAATGAAAAAAAAGAAGCTATAAAACAGGCCAGTACATTATCTGACTGTAATGAATGTGTGCATTCATGTGGTTTTGTCTACTGTAGAACACAAGGGTGCACACGCACACACACACACACACACACACACACACACACACACACACAGAAAAGGGTACAAAGGTAGTTTTTGTTCCCCGTGTCGCTGGAACTTCAGCTTTGCTTGGTCATCATGGATAAATGCCCCTCTTATCGAGCACAACGGGCACAGACAGGGCCACGAACACACACACATCTGTGCAAAGTTGTGTAGTGCTACAACCTCAGTAGAAAATTACCTTCAAAATAGATTTATATTATCTACTACATTGGAAAAAGAAGCCGATAAGCACTTTAATCAAGATAGGAAAAGCAATTAGGGTGTTAGTTTCTCTTTGTTTCTTTCTTTCTCTATTTTTGATTTCAGGCACAAATGTGTGTGCGCGTGCATGCCTGTGTGTGTGTGTGTGTGTGTGTGTGTGTGTGTCCTCGTCTTCATCATCTGTGGCAGCTGCCCGCACTGATAGTTGCTTTGTTTTCAGTGAGTGCTCCTTAATGAGGTCAAAGGCTATTTAGGGCCATTGGACGCTGACAAGGAGAAACAAGAGGTACCTTCATCACGGTCAGAACACACACACATACACAAAGTCACGCACTCACAGCTATTCATTACATTTGACCAAGACAAGGTCCAAAAATCAGTTGCTGGAGAAAGAAACTCTTTGTGTGTGTGTGAGAGAGAGAGAGAGAGTATAGGGGCAAGAAAGACAGACGAGTTCACTGATTTGGAGAGAGGATGGGTCTATTTGATTTAGCAGTTAGCATAATGAGAAAATTAGTGGTCACACACGTCTTTGCTTTGCAAACATCAATTGGGAATGTTTTCCTTCCTTGCAAAGGTAAATTCAAGACATGTTTCCACTCACGTCTCACTAGGTCCATTTGTTTACATCCACAGTATTGGAAAATAAACAGATTAAGTTCCACTTAAAGTGTTTACAAGGTTCACAGCGATCTGATTTTTGCGGTCAGAGGTCTACGTATTGTGTTTCATAGCCCTGTTAATGGTCCCCTACAGGAAGCTTATTAATAACGTCATAGGAGAAGATAAAGATAATCAATTTATTTATTTGATTCAGAGTTGTCGAAGGCAATTGGGGTAAAGGCAGTTAAAAGAACAGCTAGAACAGTCTGTTAAGTTCAGAAAATGACACCATGGTTTTTGATCTGATTTGCTCTTGGTAGCTGGCCGATCTGTAACAAGAGCAGTAAATGGTGCATTTTATATTCAATTCCAACCAAACACTAACTGTATGTTCACAGCAACAGCTTCCAAAGTGGCTGAAGTCATTCATTTTCAATGAGAGCCTGGCGACTTGGGTGAATTGGGAGATCTGGCTCCAGAGAGGAGTTAAAACTCGTTTAACTTTATGGTAATGAGCTCTGGCGTGGTTCGGCGGCAACCAATCGGAATGCTGGCGTGCTTCGATGAAGCGGGTCCCAGAGAACAAGCTATGTAACTTTGGTTCCTACAGCACACTTGTTCTAACAATGGATATCAATAAGTTTATTACTTGCGTTCGCACCCACTCAGTCCTTTACAATGTGTCGCTGTTTGGTTACAGCAGGGGTCGCGTTAACCGGATATTCTCGGTCATTGACCGTTTTTTTTTACAACAATGACCGGAAAATCTGAAGGCCGTCGGTCATTTGACAGGTTGCAATTACCACCCCTGCCCACTTGGCAGCGGAGTGCACAGTCAGTGGTTTCAGTGGCTACCGTTTTCACACTGCAGAGAAAAAGTCATTCATCTGCTTCATGTAGCGTTGTTAACATAATGGCCTGGACACACCAGGTGCGTTAGTGATGCAGAAGTCCTGCGAGTATACTCGCAGACGCTTGACTGTCCACACAGGCAGTGCATTTCTCCTGCGCTCTCTGCGCCGGTTAAACATCGACTCTACTTGTCTGTTCCCGTCAATACTCGTTTTTTCACTTCAACAGGTCATTTTAAACATGGGTAAGTCCATATTTTAATCGTTTTTTATAACGTAATAAGTTAATGACAATTTGTCATTGCATGTCCATGTATTGAGCGTGTTGGATTAACACTGAATGAATAGGGCATATTGTTCTGACCATTTTATTTATGTAGTCTGTAGGCTCAGTGACACAAAATTAAAACTGTAATGAAGTGATTAGGGTATTGAAAAATGTGTTCGATTATGCACTGTTGTGTTATTTTAAATTATAAACATGGTATTCCCTCACGTTCCTCAGTGCATGCTGTTGTTATTTTATTTTGAAAATTGGCCGGATTCTCTCGTCTTTTCTGTGTCTGACTTCCTGTTTGGTACGATCCGCTCTATCCAGCTTGACAGAAGCGCTCGCGGCTCGCGCATAGACCACACACCGAACTGAAGCACTGCGGTGTGTGGATGTCTTCATCTTTTCGTTCATGTCCTTATTAATGCACACTTTATAATTTGCTTGTTTGATTTATTAAAAACAAATGAATAAAAACTAAATGTCTTTGAATATCTTTATTATCATTTAAAAACAAAAATTAAAATGACCGGTAAAAATAGGTTATGACTGGATTTTTACGACCCTGTCAGTCAAAATGACCGGCGACGAAAAAGTCTAGCGCAACCTCTGGGTTACAGAGACCAAAATAAGAAGAATGAGGCTTGGGACCGTGTCGTGGAGGTAGTTGGTTGGTCTGGTGAGTTTTAAAGTGTGTAATGTTAGTAATAGAGGAGAGAATTGCAGGATAATGTTGCGACGTAGCATGCAAGTCTTCCTTGTTTGGTTTGAATGGGATGACATACGTTTTCTATTTTCATTGACCAAACATAACTTTCTGTCGGTCACCTATGAGCTTTTTGACTCAACAACAGCAAGCAGCAACTAAGCTGCTCCTTTAAATTGACAAGCACGATCGAACGTTAATGATTCACGTGATGAGCGACTAGAGCGACCAAAGCTGCCACAAATATTTTTGACAGTCGTGCTTCTTGGGTGTCCGCGAGAGACTTTTCTTTGGAAGCCTCTGGTGTGAATGTACAGTAAGGCCTAGTCCACATTTAAAGCTTAATTTATAAAGTGTTTTTTGCCCTCCTCCTCCATTCTCAAATAAACAAAGTAAATTAATAGATAAATACGGAACACACAAGCACTAGTGTAAAAAATCTCTGTCCAAATAAAAATGAGTGACCTCTGTAGCACATGTGGACACCTCTGCTCCTCAATGTTGTGAAAGATTAACTGTGCAGCTATATGTGAACATGTAAAAAGTCTTGTCAGCAAGTTTAGAGTCAGCACTTTTTTAGCCACCCCATTCCACAAACTGCTACCTCATTTATGACGCCTTACAAAAGAGAAAATGGTACACATGCCAAAATCTGTTTACCCTGAAAATATGTCACCAATAAGTCAGGAAATAAGTAACTCATGCGTTACGTCTAACATGTACAGACAATATGGAACTGAATTTCCCTCATCAAAATCCAGATTTCCCCTTTAGTAATACCATTACTCCCATTCAGTATATAAAAAAATCCCCTCAATGCCAAATAAGATGGAGAGAGTGGAGCCAGTGTTAGATGAGGCGGACAGAGAGGAGCTGTCAACACTAGTACCCTTCTCTCTCACATACACTCGGTCTGAGTCACCTGCAGACAAACCCCTTTATTGAGAAGCGGGCGGCCATCTTTGATTAGATGGAGTGACTCAGCAGACAGTGAACACAAGGGGGTGTGTTTGTGTTTTTTCATGTGTGTGCGTTTCGTCCTGTGATTTTGTGTGACAGTACAATGAATGAGCGCATTTGTGTTCATGTGGGAATATGTGAATGTGGGTGACTGTGGCTATATGAGAGAGATAGAGTGTGTCTGTTGTCATACCTCGTGGTCTGGTATCTCAGACGAGAGAGTCTTTCCCAGCACTGCTGCCGTCAGGTAGGTCCAACAGCGAGCCGTATTAGCAAGGTTATAACCTCCTGGTGAGGAAGAGAAACAGACATAAAGAGTAAACTTAAAGGGGGCCCATTAGTTTGTGGTCACGAGCTGCATATGATGGTATATGTGGCTGTGATCATGGCTAACGACACACAGAGTCCTCAAAAGTTGGGCGAAAAGGTTTATCTGAAATTGGACTGTGTGGAGCGATTTATTTCAGTCAATCTAGTCACTTAAAAAGGATAAATATTGCCGCAAGATAAAGACATGAACTGAAAATTAGAAACATGAGTAGGAAGAGAAGTGTTTTCAAATTTAGCCAGCTTAGTGTGGACGGCGCCCCAACAAACTGGAGCTCTTAAGACATAATGTTTGCAAAGTTACCAACCCTCAAACACACAAAAGACAAATAGAAAGAGTGAAGGATGGAGAGGATGGACTTAAGTGAAATCAAGAGAATGACAAGAACCAAGAAAGAGAGAAGGATATAACTGAGAGAAAGTATGTAGGACAGAGAGGGAGGGAGAGAAAGGAAGAGAGGTGGGATTGTAGTTGAGTAAAATGGCTTCATTGTGTCGTTTAAGTAGTAGCTATCATCTGGCCAAGGGCTGAGGGGTCTGGAACAGAGCACGGGGTGTGTGTGTGTGTGTGTGTGTGTGTGTGTGTGTGTGTGTGTGAATCCATGTGTGCGTAATTGTGCACAAATGAATGAATCACTGAGATTCAAAGCAAATACAAACACACACATAAGACATATTACATTGTCTACCTTTCATCAAGAGTTCATGCTCATATGAAGGAACACAACATAACACATATGCACATGCACACACACACACACACACACACACACACGGATAAACATTTACACATTTGCAAACAAAAAGAAAACAAGACACCAGCCAGAATAATAAGCACACCCATACAGCGTACCTCCTCCCAGCAGCAGTGTAGGTAGCTGCCACTCCAAGACATGCCGCAGACACTTGCCCACCCCCACTGGGGTCATGTTGAAGGAGCACATGGGGTCGCCCGCCATGGTGTCGGCACCCAGCTGCATGACCAACGCCTCCGGGTTGAACTGCGCCCTCACTTCCTGCATCACACTGCAAAACAAGACAACAGTAAACATGTTATTATCCACTGATGGATCAAGCTGGGACAATCAGAAGCCAGTGTGTTTTAACTTAAAGTGATAGCATTCAAGGAGTGTCTAAACATGATTAAACACAGCAACACGCTAGTAAGTTCTTTTAACATCAGACCAGCTGTGGCTTCACTTCTACACAGCTTCCTACTGTGGACCCTGTCTGTAGTCAGTTCCACCAATCAGAAGTGATGGAACACTCATCTATAGCCAGTTCCACCAATCAGAAGTGATGGAACACTCATCTATAGTCAGTTCCACCAATCAGAAGTGATGGAACACCAGTCTATAGTCAGTTCCACCAATCAGAAGTGATGGAACACTCCTCTATAGCCAGTTCCACCAATCAGAAGTGATGGAACACTCATCTATAGCCAGTTCCACCAATCAGAAGTGATGGAACACTCATCTATCATCAGTTCCACCAATCAGAAGTGATGGAACACTCATCTATAGCCAGTTCCACCAATCAGAAGTGATGGAACACTCATCTATAGTCAGTTCCACCAATCAGAAGTGATGGAACACCAGTCTATAGTCAGTTCCACCAATCAGAAGTGATGGAACACTCATCTATAGCCAGTTCCACCAATCAGAAGTGATGGAACACTCATCTATAGTCAGTTCCACCAATCAGAAGTGATGGAACACTCATCTATAGCCAGTTCCACCAATCAGAAGTGATGGAACACTCATCTATAGTCAGTTCCACCAATCAGAAGTGATGGAACACTCATCTATAGCCAGTTCCACCAATCAGAAGTGATGGAACACTCATCTATAGTCAGTTCCACCAATCAGAAGTGATGGAACACTCATCTATAGCCAGTTCCACCAATCAGAAGTGATGGAACACTCATCTATAGTCAGTTCCACCAATCAGAAGTGATGGAACACTCATCTATAGCCAGTTCCACCAATCAGAAGTGATGGAACACTCATCTATAGTCAGTTCCACCAATCAGAAGTGATGGAACACTCATCTATAGCCAGTTCCACCAATCAGAAGTGATGGAACACTCATCTATAGTCAGTTCCACCAATCAGAAGTGATGGAACACTCATCTATAGCCAGTTCCACCAATCAGAAGTGATGGAACACTCATCTATAGTCAGTTCCACCAATCAGAAGTGATGGAACACTCATCTATAGCCAGTTCCACCAATCAGAAGTGATGGAACACTAATCTATAGTCAGTTCCACCAATCAGAAGTGATGGAACACTCATCTATAGCCAGTTCCACCAATCAGAAGTGATGGAACACTCATCTATAGTCAGTTCCACCAATCAGAAGTGATGGAACACTCATCTATAGCCAGTTCCACCAATCAGAAGTGATGGAACACTCATCTATAGTCAGTTCCACCAATCAGAAGTGATGGAACACTCATCTATAGCCAGTTCCACCAATCAGAAGTGATGGAACACTCATCTATAGTCAGTTCCACCAATCAGAAGTGATGGAACACTCATCTATAGCCAGTTCCACCAATCAGAAGTGATGGAACACTCATCTATAGTCAGTTCCACCAATCAGAAGTGATGGAACACTCATCTATAGCCAGTTCCACCAATCAGAAGTGATGGAACACTCATCTATAGTCAGTTCCACCAATCAGAAGTGATGGAACACTCATCTATAGCCAGTTCCACCAATCAGAAGTGATGGAACACTCATCTATAGCCAGTTCCACCAATCAGAAGTGATGGAACACTCATCTATAGTCAGTTCCACCAATCAGAAGTGATGGAACACTCATCTATAGCCAGTTCCACCAATCAGAAGTGATGGAACACTCATCTATAGTCAGTTCCACCAATCAGAAGTGATGGAACACTCATCTATAGCCAGTTCCACCAATCAGAAGTGATGGAACACTCATCTATAGTCAGTTCCACCAATCAGAAGTGATGGAACACTCATCTATAGCCAGTTCCACCAATCAGAAGTGATGGAACACTCATCTATAGTCAGTTCCACCAATCAGAAGTGATGGAACACTCATCTATAGCCAGTTCCACCAATCAGAAGTGATGGAACACTCATCTATAGTCAGTTCCACCAATCAGAAGTGATGGAACACTCATCTATAGCCAGTTCCACCAATCAGAAGTGATGGAACACCCATCTATAGTCAGTTCCACCAATCAGAAGTGATGGAACACTCATCTATAGCCAGTTCCACCAATCAGAAGTGATGGAACACTCATCTATAGTCAGTTCCACCAATCAGAAGTGATGGAACACTCATCTATAGCCAGTTCCACCAATCAGAAGTGATGGAACACTCATCTATAGTCAGTTCCACCAATCAGAAGTGATGGAACACTCATCTATAGCCAGTTCCACCAATCAGAAGTGATGGAACACTCATCTATAGTCAGTTCCACCAATCAGAAGTGATGGAACACTCATCTATAGCCAGTTCCACCAATCAGAAGTGATGGAACACTCATCTATAGTCAGTTCCACCAATCAGAAGTGATGGAACACTCATCTATAGCCAGTTCCACCAATCAGAAGTGATGGAACACTCATCTATAGCCAGTTCCACCAATCAGAAGTGATGGAACACTCATCTATAGTCAGTTCCACCAATCAGAAGTGATGGAACACCAGTCTATAGTCAGTTCCACCAACAACAGAACACTCTTCTATAGTCAGTTCCACCAATCAGAAGTGATGGAACACTCATCTATAGTCAGTTCCACCAATCAGGAGTGACGGAACACCAGTCTATAGTCACTTCCACCAATGACAGAACACTCTTCTATAGTCAGTTCCACCAATCAGAAGTGATGGAGCACCTGCCAATAGTCAGTTCCACCAATGACAGCACACTCTTCTATAGTCAGATCCACCAATCAGAAGTGATGGAACACCGGTCTATAGTCAGTTCCACCAATCAGAAGTGATGGAACACCAGTCTATAGTCAGTTCCACCAATCAGAAGTGATGGAACACTCATCTATCATCAGTTCCACCAATCAGAAGTGATGGAACACTCATCTATAGTCAGTTCCACCAATCAGAAGTGATGGAACACCAGTGTATTTTCAGTTCCACCAATCAGAAGTGATGGAACACTGGTCTATAGTCAGTTCCACCAATCAGAACTGATGGAACACTGTCCAAAGTCAGTTCCACCAATCAGAACTGATGGAGCACCAGTGTATTTTCAGTTCCACCAATCAGAAGTGATGGAACACTGTCCAAAGTCAGTTCCACCAATGACAGAACACTCATCTATAGTCAGTCAGAAATGGTGGAACACCCGTCTAGTCAGTTTCATCATTTACATGTGATAGAATTACTCAGCTAAACAACTCAGAAGTGACAGAGGGCTAGTCTGTAGTGAGTTCCAGTAATCAGAAGTCACCACGCAAAAATATTTCTTAACTGCAGAGTCATTCTTATCTCAGCTAGCAGTAAATTACTGGAGCTGCTTGATTTTGAGTCATTACATTCTTTAATTGCAGTAAAAATAAAACCTAAAGATAAGGGTTAAATCTAGGGTTAAATCTGTTATGAGCAACAGCCACCATGACAAATGTTGAAGCCAATGCATAAATGAGGTCATAAGCTGTACTTGTGGTAATACCCACTAGCCGGAGGCTCCAAAGAAATCCTTTAGTCTGGGAAAAACCATGACTTCCCTTTTACACATATATAAATAAGAATTTGTTTGTCAGAGATGACCAAGATAACAGCGAAACAAACAAATCTTCCATGATGTCACAGATCGCCCTTACTGTCATTGATTATAATTTAATTCCAGAAAGCCTGGTGAAACTGCAGTTTATATTTTGGGGTTTCCTAAGTAGCACTACACAGACGCTGATGTTGAAATTTAACACAAAAGTGTCTTAACACTGATTTTCAGGTTTGGATTTTTGAGTGTTCAGAATAATCCCAGGTTGACGCCCTCATGTTGGAAAGAATCCCCTGCTGAAATATCCCTGATGATACGCTGAAGCTGCATTAGCTCCATGGCACTGCTCTATATATATGACCCTGACCTTTGGTGTCTGGGTGGGATGCGGTCAAGAGAGGGAAGGGAAAACAGAATTTCTCCTCAGGGATCCTTGAGAAAAACGTGCCTTGTGAATAGCCTCTTAGCTGCACAGGAAATTCCATATGTGTGTGTGTTTGTGTGTGTACCTGGTAAAAATCTGGTAGTATCTGTCATCCTTGATGCCGTCCTCCAGTGGGACGTTCACGGCGTACCAACGGCCTTTACCCAGCCCCGTGTCACACAGGTCACCCGTACCTAAATATACACACGCTTATCTTACACTTTCTCACACTATATCATATTTAATTATATTATAAGCATCTGCAGTGGTCGACCTGGGAAGAATCCAGGGGAGAACTTGTGCAGAGAGACGGTCATGACTTTGGATGTGAAGCTGAAGGCGTCCTCAACACCTGCCATGACAGGAGGAGAAAAATATGAGATACCTCTGAGGGATCTGAGGGTTTTCAGGAGCCTGGATTTCAGCCTGATAAATAAACAGAACAAACAAAGGAATTCAAGTCCTGCTTGTTTGATTCTATTGTTTGTGTGCGTACCGTCTCCGTGATGCAGGTCAACGTCCACATAGAGGACTCTCTCGTACTTCTCCCTCAGTTTGAGGATTCCCAACACAGCGTCGTTCACATAGCAGAAACCTGATGCCTCATCCCTGGAAGACGGAGAGAGAGGAAAATAAAACTGTGAGGTTGGGGTCTGACCTTTACCTAGAGCGCCCCCATCAGGCCTATCTGTGGAACTGATAAGAACAATGAAGAAGTGATTGAAATGAATGGTATATAATACTGGGGGAATGTAGGATTTCATGTTTGATGGCTCAACAGAACCACTCAAAAAGAATAAATCTTCATATATAACGACAAAAATTTGTATTTCAAATTGTATTTCAGGCATTATTAAAGAATAAAATGACCTCATTGTTTGAGAGGAAGTGTCACAAATCCCTGTATTTTCGTAGCAATGCATAGAAAATACGTACAGTTTACTTTAGTCCGAACAGGTTGACTTACTTCTTGGCATGGTGCCACCCTCCTGCCCAGTTGATGGCCACCTCACACTTCTGATCCAGTAGACACTGGGCTGCCGTCAGTGTAGCGCCCCCTACTGCTGCCGCATAGTCATATATCCCCTCCACCACTGGACAGTCATAACCTGGACGGACAAGAGAAACATGTAGGAGAGGGATGATCTTTTAAAATAAAATAATATTTATTCCTTCTTCATTTTCTATGAAACATTTTCCCTGAGATTTCTTTTATGCAGAGGAGGTTAAAGATGATGGGCTGTCAACAAAAAATGATCAACAAAAGAAGAGGAAGAAAGAGAAGAAAAAGGGAAGGGTGCGAGAGAAATGAGGGAGGTGAATAGACAGAATCGATGATGACAGCGTGATGTAAAATAAATTAAAGAGCCAAAGGAGAGTGATGACAGACAGAGAAATCTCTCAGCCCCAGGAAAAGGTGAACCAGTCTGCTTTCATAACAAGCTGGAAGGATGAACCCGAGGGAGGTGTGCAGAACACAAAAGGAGGAAGTGACGGGGGATGAGACTGGGACACAAAGAGGTGCGATGATGGATGAGGGTGAATAAAAGAAGGGAGGGAGACAGATGAGTCAAGGAAATGAAAACAAGGAGGGTGAACTTGAGGGTTGGTCTAAAGTTAGAAATGTAAACCTCGGAGAAAGGATGGACTCATCCAAGAGCAACAAACCATGGTGGGATCTTTCTGACAGCGTCCCACCCAGTGAGAGAACAGCTGAGATGAGGTGGGGGTTTATGTGTATTCCTACCTCAACCAAAGTACAAACAATGTGAAAAGAACAGCAAGAATAGCAATATTCTAATGTAAGGCACTGACAAATAAGGTAAGCCCTTCAAAACCTTGGATGTGTACTGTTGTCTGTGGTAGACACGTGTTATAGTGCCCCCTGCTGCCAATAAACTAGCACTGCAAGTAGACTTCTCATAAAGTCATGTACAGGGCTTGTTTCCACTTTATACCCTCCCAACCCCCCAAAAAAGGTAGTAAAATTTACCTGTAGTGGATAATACAGATTGTTTCCCACTATTTTGAAACAATAAATGTGTCCATGAACGTTGTCTTGCAACCAAAATTCTGCTGCAGCTCTCGAAAATTAAAAGAATTGTCCAAATATATACTATGAGACATAAACGTACATACTTAGGACGGTAGGTTTTCAACTGATTCTCCACAGGATTCTTACATTAAACAGCACTGAAGATGAGTAAAATAACAAATGTGTATACACTATTTCAGCTCCACTCACCCAAGCCGTAGTCGGCCGACTGGGGGTCATCGTTGTCTCCGTCCTGGCTGATCTTGTGGAGATGCTCCAGGTAAGAGTCTGTGTGGAACTTGGCCATGTCCTCTATGGTGGCCACTTGAGGTTTAACGGTGCTGCAGAGAAAGACAAAAAGATGATAATATTAATGGTCCATGTAGCTTGCATAATAATTTGTTGTATACGCAGTGTCAGATAAAACACTGTATATGAATAAAACCACAGAAGCCTGCAGATGACAAAGTGAGTCGCTTTCAGATGAGAGAGTGTGCAGCCTAAAGCTACAGAGAATATTGGCACCACACAGCCAGCAGTAAAATAAAATGCCAACTGTGCAAAAAACGCTGAGTTGATGGAAAAACAATTTCCCCCCGGGGATTAATAAAGTATTCTGAATCTGAATCTGAATCTGAATAAATGCTGCACTGATATAGTCAGAGTGGAGATTGATGGTACTGGGATATGCATAAAAAACACCACCATCACCCTTTGTTTCCTTGAATTAAAAGAAAGGCAGTACAAGCCACAAGCAGAGTGTCTATCACCAATGTGCAAAGCAAAATCTTCATGTAATGTCATAAAATGATATTAAAAATGGCTGAAATCATCAAATCTGTCCTTAAGTTGAGACGCGTAGTTTTTTCTCTCTCTATAAAAGTAATAAAATATACAATATAATCACCCACACAATACAATCTTGATCACATTTGACAAAAACATACAGTTCATTATGCAAAACACTGTCTCTGTGAGTGAGTCTGGGGATCAACAGTCAATGAATCTCTTATAGTTTGGCATAAAGCCCTGTGTCCTTCATAACAGTCTGAAAACATACAGTAAAGTGACTCTAAATGACTAAAATGTCAAAGTAGTTTATCAGCATGCAGTCTGTTTTGAGAAAGTAGAAATTCAGTTAACACTGTAGTTAGCAGCTAGCTAACCAGGCTGCCTCTACACAGTATATGAAGCTAATTATGTCTGAAAAACATGCTTTAATCTCCTTGTTATCTCTGTTTAAGTTAGAAAACTGACCTTATCTGCCACTCACCTCATGTGTTTAAGGAGTCCATATGCTTCTATCAGTGAGTGGACCATACTCGCCTGGAAAGGGACATGAAATATTAAATAAAAGCCTGGACAATGCTAACAACACAGCAGAGCTAGTGAGTAAAAAGCCGGGTAGTTAACTAACGTTAGCCCCAACGGTCATTCAATCCAACTCACCCGGTTTGGCACTTTGGATAAACTGTCGCAAGTCTCGATGTACTCCGGGCTGTAAACATACGCGACCCTCCGCTTCCCGCTGCTGTCATCGTCACTGTCTCCTCTGCGACTCATTTACGGTGGATAAAATAAAAGTAATGTGACAGAAAATGCAGCTAAAACAAATTAACAGTGAAGAGATGCGAGCAGCTTCTTCTCCTCAAGTCTGGTGTAACACTATCAACATTCCCCCCGGTACAGTCGGTCCACCGTGAGACTTCACTAATTAGACGTCGTGGATAAAATATAAAATAAATATATAAAAATATAAATATATTGTAGGATAATTATCTCGTCTGACAGAAGGACATTTCGAGTTTTTTTGTAACGGTCACAAACACTGGACCCAATGTTCCGCGCGTGAACGTTTTTTAAAGGGAACGTACGCGGAGAGAGAAGCATTCTGGGATTTCATGTAGTCTTTTCCCTGTTCTCTAAAACATAACGTTTTTACAAGAGTTGGCCTCAACGTTTTAGATTAATTAAAACACGACTGTAGAAACGGATACATTTCAAGTTAGCTTTGGGATAATGTAGTTTTAATACAGTAAAAAGAATGTTTAATTATTATTTTTTATTTATTTATTTATTTAACAGGGAACATGTATGCTACTTAGCTGCTCCAGATTTAGCTATAAGCTAATTTTCATCTGTAGTCCCTGGGCAGAAAACAAAGCATAATTTCTCTGCTAGAAGACAGTACTATATAAAAAACACAATTAAAAAATAGAACATATTCATTACAGAACGGCTTCAGCAATAACAATAGCAAGACAACACAACATCAAGTCATCATAACAATAACGACAGCAACAACAATTCATTTATACAATGTAAAATGCCATAGGCTTGTGCTAATAATGTTAGCATGTTGTATTTGATTGGAAAACGTGTTTAGTATAAGACAGTTGTTTTGTCGGTGAACTTTGTGAGCTGTAATGGAGCTGAATTTTACAAAGTTACCTTTATTAAATGTTGCTGTTGTCTCTGGCTACATATGAGAAGAAGAAAAGTTTGCTAGCCGCTAAGCTAATTTATTCAATATAAAATGCCATAGACTTGTGCTAAAAACATTAGCATGTTGTATTTTTGGGAAAGATACACCACAAAAACTACAACATTAAGATTTAACAAGATTTCATAATGTCAGATCAAGTGTTCGAGTTCATGTGTGATGGGTACATGAGTAGGTTGCCATGATTTCATCTTAAATTTGTAAACCAACAAAGGTGTTGTACTGTCTTATCTCACTTGTACTGAGTTCCAATAGTTTGTAGCTTGAACAGAGATGGCTGATATACCAAACTCAGTAGATCTGTGCTGTACTGCATAGTTGCCTCTGTTGGTTGTCCCAGACATCCTGCCATTGTTTGAGCGCAGTTGTATGAACTCTTATGAAATATAGGGATAATAATAGATTTAAAACACACTTTTAATAAAATTAACAATTCAAGCTTGTTGATGAAATAAGACACTACTGTCATTATTGTGATATAACAGTAAGTTCATGTAAATTACTGAATTTAACTGTAACTTCACAGTTTATGTACATTTGATTATTGTAATTTAGCAGTATGTTCCTGGAGAATTACTGTATTTTACTGTAACCCCACAGTTAAAGCCCATTATATTACTGTGATATAACAATATAGTGCTGTAAATTACTAAATTTAACTGTTCCTTCAGTCTATGTACATTTGATTACTGTGATTTAGCAGTATGCTCATGTAGAATTACTGTATTTCATTGTAATCTCACAGTTAAACTCCATATATTATTGTCATTTAGCAGTAAGCTCATGTAAAATTATTGTATTTACCTGCATGAATTTCACAATAAAATTCTGAATTTGGTAAAATATCACAGTAAAAGCCTGTGAGGTGACAATAAAATAAAGTATAAAGTTAAAAAAAGTATATTCACAATAATTAGGAATTATAATATAAAATTATGCTTTCGATGCAATTACATAAATAGACACACAATATAATACTATAACTAGCTCTGAACATTCAAAAACTGATACATTTCCAGTCAACAGATTTTGGTCAATATACTTGTAATACACTTATAAAGGATATTTATAAAATAAGGGGATACAAATATATAACATTTACGTTTGATAATATTAAATAATTGTACATGCAATAACATATAATTGAAAGTGTGTGTACAGGGCATGGGATCTTCAGGGAGTGTTCGTGCTTTTCGCTGGAGGGCGACAAAAGCAGCTGACTTGTACCAACTACAATTCATTCACTGAGACTCAGTTACAAAAATAGTATGACTTTATTTTATTTATCACTGACCACATGTAGTGATAACCCTTTAATAATTGTAATGCATTGATAAAACGTGATAATATGCATCACGTATTGGCGCACCAGTGTTTACTACAGTTTTTGCCCCACTTTGCTTCCTGGTTGAACCTGATACCATCTGCCTCCGAGGCACAAGTGTTTCTGCAAAGCATGGAAAACAATTTAATGTAAATATGATATTTTTTACTAAATATCTCTTAAGTCTGTTAAATGTAAATTGACCGTGTCCCCTGTGTGTGTGTGTGTGTGTGTGTGTGTGCAAACTCTACAACACTAATGTCAAGTTATTTACAATGAAGAAAAGCATTTCCGGTTAAAAATTAACAAAGTAAAATATTTAACACTGAACCACGGGTGCCAAATACGACAGTAAAAATGTAGTAAAAATATAAATATTCATATCAATGACCACGAAGCATAAGTATTAGCCTTTTCTTGATTTTTGCAGTCATGTGGCTGTCTGTTAAAACCTTGTAACCCCAGTTATAGTCTATAGTCGATTTAACTAAAAGTAGTTTGATTGAAAACATAATTTGAAGAAGCACGGATGGCATGTTTTTTTTTAAATCATTATTATTATTTTAAATTGATCATTTAGAGAACATACAAAAGTATAAACATACAACATGTGGTGGAGGATGTACAAAAATAGATTAATATACAAAATAAAATAGACTGTAATAGACTTCTGTATTATTTTTCTATTAATCTGTATGTTTTATTTGTTTTATTATTATTAATATTATTATATTGTATTATATAACTTTATTATTTATTTTATGTGCAATAATTTTAACTTATTTTATGTTCACAGCCTATGTTGGCATTGCTTGTGTGTGTATGATATCTTATGCCCTCCTTTATTATTCGTTTATTACTTTTATAATAAGATCCGTTTTTTCTGTGCATTGAATTTCGTTGTATTTATTTACAGTGACAATAAAAACAAATTGAATTACATTAATAATAATAATTATTATTACTACTATTATTATTCATTTATTTTCTATCTATTTTTATAATTTTATTTCTATGAATTTTCTATACCCTGTGGCCTATAACTTGAATTTTAGGGCACCGTGTTTGAAAATAATGATGGCATGACTGCCAGAAAAACAGCAAAGGAATTCTGTTGAGAGTTAACGTGGAGCTGTCTGTTTTTGACACGCTTTTACTTTGAAGGCGCATCTCTTGACATCCGGTATCATTCCTGCTTCCTGTCACCAGCTTACCTACCGCAGCTTCAGATTACAGCACTCGCTTGATTTTCGTCGCTGCCCCAGCTGAGCTGTTTTTATGACACCCCGCCGGTCCGCAGTTCTTTCTGCTCCCCTCGAAAGCTGTCCTCCTGCTCGGCTTCGTGGACTTCCGAGGAGCACCGTGGAAATGACTCTCCTGTCGAGGAATTAGCGAGTTTTTTGGTGTTGTTGCATACTTGAAGCCACCTGAAAGTGAAGCCGTGAACCGTTGACTTGTCACCATGAGAAGCCGGAGCAACTCGGGCGTCAAACTGGACAACTATGCCCGAATTGTGCAGCAAACTATCCTCAGACACCAAGTGAGTGTTTCATTGTGTTGTTAGGAAGTTATAAAAGTGGTCTGGCAGGTAAAACAGTAGCTGCAGTGCTTCGTACCTGTGGGCAGGATGTGTTAGCTTGTCCGGTGACAGCACAGACTCATGTTCATGCATGCAGTAGGTAGAGTGACATTTCGCAAGGCAGCACCCTGTCAAACACACACACACACACACACACACACACACACACCATACTTTCATTACTTGTGTAAGTGTGTGTGTTCATGAAATATATGTTAATGGCGCTTTAGAGTCATGTTTCAAGCACTTGTACACCCCAATTAACATACCCCATATAGTCTTAAGTATATTGACACTTAAACCCATATGCAGTGATGAAATGTAACTAAGTACATTTACTCAAGTACTGTACTTCAGGACGCTTTCAACATACTTTTACTGTACTTGAGTGTGTCCATTTTACACTTGAACTCTAAATTTCACAGGAAAATATTGTACTACATTTATATGACAGTTATAGTTACCAGATACTTTTTATATTTACAAAATACCTGATATGATGCAGTATTATATTACTTATTTAAGTTGTAGTAATGCCCTTACATGTATTTAGTGATAAACAGAATAATGTAATGTTCTGTAATGTAATAACGCTATGAAAGGAGGCGTTCTGTGTAATCTTACCTTTGATACTGATAATAATTCTTTGAATTCAGGACTTGTACTTGTAAAGCTGTATTTTTAGATGATGATATTTTAACTCTTTCACCACTGCACATATGTTATTGTTGGAACAACCCATGCCCGCATTCATCCACAGCTATAACGGCTTCCACTCCTGTTGGAAGACTTGCCACAAGATTTAGGAACCTGTCTGCGGGGATTTGCTCCCATTCAGTCACGAGAGCACTAGTGAGGTCCTGCTTTGATGTTTGTCATGTGGCTGTAAGTGTTCCAGGTCATCCCAGGGATGCTGGATTAGTTCGAGTTATTGGCTCGGCGCAGGCCAGTCAAGTTCCTCCACATCAAACTGGAACAAAATCTTTATACTGTACATCTGGCTTTGTGCTTGGGGGCATTGTCATGTTAAAACAGGAACGGGTTTTCCCCAAGCTGTTGGCACAAAGTTGGAAGCATCTAAAGTATTATTGGATGTTGTGACATTAGCCTTACCTCCCTACATTTGATGCTTTAGGGGTTGAGTTGTGCTTTGGTTATGGTGCTCTGTTGTGTGCGGGTGTTATGTGCAGTATATGAATGGCTGATGTGCGATAATGTTATGTGTAGTATGTGTTTTTATGTTTGGACTATTATTGTGAAGCTCCAGAGTCCAAGACAATTTTCCCTACAAGGACAATATAGTGTATCGTATCGTATCATATCGTACCGTATTGCACTGTCATCTGAACTAAGAAACCTACCCCAAACCATGAAAAACTTAAACAGACAGTCCCTCTAAAGTCAAGTCTATTTTAATTAAATACCCCAATATCACAGATTACTCATTTTCATTAAGAAGTTTTACAGTCTGTACTAGGGATGTCCCTCAGATCGGGTATCGGCACGATCACGTTATTTTTACAAAATTGGAATCGGTAATAAAAAATCGGAGGAATCAAAAGAACAAAAATGGCCAGGTTTTTCATCTGTGTTGTTCATTGTTGCCTCTGCTTTCCAGTGTATTGTAACTGAGCGTCTTGGGTTCGCCTAACTGAGAGCAGCTAATGAGCAATAAATGGACAGGAGTCAAGACAACAGGTTCAGCGGCCACCGCTTCTCTCTTTATTCTGAGCAACACAGCCACACCTAACGGCGGAACCTCGCCTACCACGGCAACTCTGGAGGGACAATTTGTTCACAATTCAGAATTTGTTGGTGCTGAACCACCGATAAGCTTTTTGGATACTATTTAAATAAAAAAACAAACCTTATGGGACAACGTGGATGCATTCTTTTTTTTTTCTTTCTTAATGCTTTGCAAAGTATCAGATCGGACTTGGTATCGGACTCGGTTTCAAAATGAAAGACTCGGTATCGGATCGGACGCAAAAAAATATATGATCGGGACATCCCTAATCTGTACAGCATAAAGCAACCTTTGCCCTTAGATCTTTGATTCAGATGAGGACGAACTCCCCCCAAGAGCCCCTTTAACAGAGACAAAATGGAAGAAACCTCACAAATAGCACCTGTGGAGGGAGCCCTCTTCCTGTTCAGGCAGACGTACAATACTCTAGATATGGTGTGTACAGAATAGACCAAGATGAAAAAAGAATCAGTCAGGAGGACAGAATTATAGACTGCGAATGTAGAAAGTGGATGTGGAAGGATGTCAAATAGCTTCAAAAGCCCACATACTTTAGCCATATAGTATGCACACATTAAGTGCATGAACTGGAACAGCTGCATTCCTGGCTCCAAACCTTATCCTAAACCTAATCTGAACATAACTCCATAAATCAAGCATAAGTACAAAAAACACACCCTCTACATATCCCCCATTTACTCCTCTTCTCTGCTCAGTGTTTGCCAAAAACACATTTGGGTGGGACAGTAGTTTGCAAAGACCACAGACCAGCCAGAAACTGAAGATACAACTGGAGAAAACTCGATTAATGACCTAGATGCTAGGGAAACAGAGGCTAGGTAAGGCGGTAGGACTCGGACTCTTTGTAAAGCTTGTTTTATACCTGATTTGTGTGGTTTGGGACTGTGGAAGGAAGCCAAAACAAAAACCAGAGTTCACCCAGAAAGAAGTGAGAACAGAAGTCAAACCCTTGTTCTTCTTGTATTGGTTGTGTTTTGGGTTTTCAATTGTTGATAAGTTGATAAAGACACCAAGGAGGAAAGGAAGAACTAGGAAAGTTCTGATCCTGGCTCATAAACACTGCTACAGATTTTTCAATTATCCAGCCTCTACTGTACATATGTAGCTCTTCGGAAACCAGAAGACTGGTGTCTTCAAGTGGAATATGCACAAACTCTGAGTGAAGTCACCTTTTGAATCCGTCCCAAATGGCCTCCAGCCAGTATCCAGCTCACTGCTCAGATGGATCATTGCACTAATGACTGAATGCGCCCACAGACAGCAGAGGCTCTCTGCCTGCAGCAGTTGGTAAAGCGTCATAAATACATTGACAGTAAATCTATTTGTATGGTCTTCTGGGAGTATTAAATGTCTTATTCAGAGATCTGCATTGTGCAGCCTTTTAACAGCCTATTACATTAGTAGAATAACTCAACACGTGCTATTTTAAACATTTAACCACAGTAGTTACACTCACTCCTCCAACAAGAAGAAGGTCCAACATGTCGATGTCATCGCTGATGTATTTGTGCAACTCACCAAGAAGCCACATTTCTCTCTGTTAGTGATGAAACCTGACTGGATGTTGAAAGACTGCCGTGGTGTCTCAGTTAGCTGTGATGAAAATGACAATTTATATCTTAAAACATTAGGAAAAATTATTATTTAGTGGCGCATCAGGCCCAACAGTAATGACAAAGAGGAAGAAGCTTTGTTTATGTGGTTTACAAAACTTTAATTGTGTTCCACTTCCTTAACAAACTGCAGAAATTCACCTCACACATTTCCTCATCTACATGTCTCCTTTGCTTTTATCCGGTGTTGTTGTGTCTCTTTAAAACAGGAAACAACAGGGCTTATGGGTAATGTAGTTATGGGTATGTTGCTTTTACATATGGTCCAGCTGCTCAGATAATGTAGATTTTCTGACCTGAATTAAAATGAGAAGAAACTATGTTTAAAGCTTATCATTTTTATTTTAACCAATAAAATAACTTTTTATTTTTATTTTTAAAGGAGCAAATGTATCTGATTAAATTTTCTTTTTTACACGTTATGTTCCCACACAGCCAAAAGTTGTGTTTTCTGCTCCAAGAGCTCAGTTGAATTATGATTCTTGTAAGAAGTGAAATGATTAGTTGATGTACAGAAGTTCAGTCAGCAGCAGTTTTATTATTGTGTTGTTTCATTCAAGGAATTTTTTTATTTATATAGCCCAACAACCTCCAGTGGCTTTACAGTCTCTACAGTCAGTTTGGTTTGTTTTAGCTTAGCTTAGCATGGCTTTGTTTATTTTGGTTTGGTTTATCTGATCTTATCTTATCTTATCTTAATTTAGTATAGTATAGTTTGGTTTAGTGTAGCTTAGCTTGGCTTTGTTTATTTTGGTTTAGCTTATCTTAGCTTACCTTAACTTAACTTAGCTTAGCTTAGCTTAGCTTAGCTTAGCGTAGCTTAGCTTGGCTTAGTTTAGTTAGGTTATGTTAGACCTGGTTTTGTTTGGTTTGATCTGGCTTGGTTTGGCTTTATGTGGCTTAGTTTAGTTTATTTTGGTTTGGTTTGGTTTGGTTTAGCTAAGATTATCTTAGATTAGATTATCTTAGTTTAGTATAGTTTAGTTAAGTTGGGTTTGGTTTGGTTCAGTCTGGTCTGGTTTCGTTTGGTTTATCTTACCTTAATTTAGTTTAGCTTAGCTTAGCTTAGCTTAGGTTATCTTAACATAGCTTATCTTAGTTCAGTTTAGTTCGGTCATTTTTCAACTTATAAAACTTAAACACGCTGGTAGACAGACAATAAATAAACATTAAGTTAATGCTTTATTTTAGCATTCATATACAAAAGAGAAACAAAAAACAAAACAGAACTGAAGAGGTGCAGGTTGAAGCCTTTGCTTATCACACCTACCCTACCCACAACATACAACACTCTTTATCCCTAGAACCTCAATTCACATAAGTCACTTTTTTTTCTTTTTTTCTGACAAAAAAGACAACAAATTACAGAAACCACCTTGTCGAGTGTGAATATTTGCTGGTTTCCTCAGTCTTTTCAAGAGCATTTTCTCTGTTATCTCACATTTCATAGACTTAACAATCAATTGAGAAAATAATCGTCAGATTAACCAGTAATAACGCGTAGTTCATGGAATGCTAAATGAAAACAAGAAGTGCAAACATGCACCAGAGCCCCTCAAAGTATTATTAAAACAAACAGTTACACTAAATAGTTTGCGAGCCAAATGGCTTTCTTATAATCCAATTTCAAAATAAACCCAGGCTGTGTTGTTAAAAAAATATTATTGAGCTACAGAAGTTAACATGCACCCGCTGAAGCAGTCCACCTCTACATCACACTGTCCAGCTTGCTCGTTAGCTTGTGTTAACAGTTGACCTTTGACCCCTCTCTGTGTCCGACAGGATCCAGTAACGGGTCTTCTGCCGGGCAGCCCAGATCAGCCTCACGCCTGGGTCAGAGACAATGTTTACTGCGTCATATCTGTGTGGGCTCTCAGTCTGGCCTACAGGAAGAACGCTGACAGGGATGAGGACAAGGCCAAGGCCTATGAACTGGAGCAGGTGGGTGTCTGTCTGGCATTGGGTTGTGGGAGGAGATTTTTGTTCTTACTGCCTGAAATGTGTCCCAGTGTGGGGTGTTTCTCTCTGCTGATGAAGGGCAGAAATTGGTTGTCTCGTTTTTCTGCCTGAACACCAAAAACTACGTTGAAAATGTTGACATCTGACCATCTTTCTCTCTCTAGAGTGTGGTGAAGCTAATGAGAGGCATCCTTCAGTGTATAATGAGGCAGGTATGTTGTATTAAGTATTTTTTGGTTTCCAACAGACACACACAAGACACAACTTATTGCATATTGATCACACCTGTATCAACTTTACTCAGTGTTTTTCTGCTTTATTTGCTTCCTGGTTATTTCTTTTATTGAATACTTAATGTTTTTGTCGTAGCTGGATAAGGTGGAGAAGTTCAAATACAGCAGAAGTACCTCAGACTCGCTCCACGCCAAGTACAACACCAGGACCTGTGCTCCTGTTGTCGGGGACAACGAGTGGGGTCACCTGCAGGTCGACGCCACCTCCATCTTCCTGCTCTTCCTCGCTCAGATGACTGCGTCCGGTAAATATGCAGCAAAGAGACATTTCTACATAGACCTTTGAAGTTGTTGAGTGGCGCTAAATTGGCTCATCCTCAAAAGTTCTGGGAGTTTTTAGGTGTTATAGATTTGAAGAATACATTTTTGTGTGATACTTGTTTGGGTTTTGTTTCCCTGACGAAAAAGATGAAGGATATTTAAGGTAATGGGATGGAAAAATGGTACGTTTTGGGAGATGAGAGTCAGAGAAATATGTTCCAGCTAATCCTTTTCTCAGCTGTTTTTTAGATTTAGTCTGACATTATATTTAGTCAACTTTATCCTTCCTATTTGCAGTTTGTTTTTACTCTTTGAGAACTTCAGGAAAAACATTTTACTTTTTGAACAGGAAGCAAAGAACAAGAAGTGTTGTGTCATCACAGTGTGGTCACGTTTCTTCATTCCACTGTCATTGGTTGTTAGACTAGATTGTGTTTGTAAAGCACAGACAGATGCTATTATGCCTCGTATCTCAACTGGTAAAGGCCTCTATAAAGTGTCCGTTCCTGTGTTTGTGTGTGTGCACCAGGTCTCCATATCGTTTACACCCAAGATGAAGTAGACGTAGTCCAGAATCTCATGTTCTACATTGAAACAGCTTACAAAGTGGCTGTAAGTGTTCATTCATTGTCAGCACCCTCAAAACAAAACATTCCCCTTATCTATTTTAATGATTGAGAACTTTTCTAGAACCAGTAATGTCTGATCTTTCCTTTTCTGGTTCTTCACAGGATTATGGGATGTGGGAAAGAGGAGACAAAACCAACCAGGGCATCACCGAGATCAACGCCAGCTCTATAGGCATGGCCAAGGTTAGCACACACACACACACACACACACACACACAGAAACACACAGTTTCCCTTGTCTTTCCTTTCCCTGAGTGTGACATGATAAGGGCAGGTAGATGGAGGAGAAACCAGCCTGGGTGCTGAGTGAGAGCAGAACAGGTGCTCCAGTAAAAAATCTCCAGCATGGTGGAAGGTGTCTAGTCACTGCGGCGGCCTTTACATTGACCTTTAGACGACCCAGACCCTCCCCCTGACTCAGGGTCAGATGGGACGACTTTGTTTTGGTGCTGGAAGTGTACACAGTGTCAGTTTTGATAAATCAAATACTGCCGTCAGATAAAATCTTTCAATTGAAATCTCTTGCAAAGAGCTAAGACTCATTTTTAGCTGAATATTTTAGTTTTTTTAATGTCATAAAAGAGTTTCACAGCACGAGAAAGTCTTGTCTTAGTTGATAAACATCCTGATTCTTGTAAGGAAGTTTTCACATGAGAGGATACTCGCTCTCTGGGCCCGACTCAGCGCTGTCCTTGGCCCGCAGTGTACAGGAGGTATCAGGTTGTCTGCGGTCTTCCAAGAATGGCGTCTCACTCAGAAATAACACAGAGTACTCGCAGTACCCAGTGGACACACACACACACACACACACACACACACACACACACACACAGAGTTTAATTTAAGACCTTGGAAAGGGGCACCTCTGCAGGACGTTCCCTGCTCCATTAATTACATGTAGTTAGTTATAAGTATTTATAAAGCAAAGCAGCATGACTGTAATCTGTACTATACTATCATATACAACAGCTATGTATACATAATACTGCTACTGATGTATTTCCTCTCTAGAGTCATCAGTCAACCAATATTGAAACCCAAACTCCAGTAGCATGTCTTAAGTAAAGGTAAAAACTGGTCAGGTCTGAGTTCCCAAACAACCCACAGAACCGCTTTGCCTCTCCTTCAGGATGTCAGTAATTTAAACAAATAAATTGTCCCGTGTGTGGTTTATCTTATCCTGTGGTTCATATTTTCGTAGTTGTTTCTGGGGAATACCTCGCGTAGGTGGGAAACCTAAAGGATTTTCAGCAGAAATTGCTTGACTATGTACATAAAATTAAAATCTTCAAGAACATAACAGAAGATGAACAGAGCCTGCAGGAGTTCTCGAGTCTAACTTCTACCTAGACAGCGTTATTATCTATATTCTTGTCTTTCTGTTTTATAGTTTAACCATTTTCATTCATCTGTATCCTGTATGTAAGATTATCTATCACCAGAGTGATCATCTAGGTTTTTGTTTTTACTCTCACTAAAGATTTAATTTCCATTTACGTTTACTGTCATCTTATTGCTGTTATCTTCACTGTCAACCAAGATAGTGAAATGTGTTGCTCAGCTGTTCGATATTTGCTTATTTAATTTAACTATTAGTATCAGCACTGGTTTAAAAAAGCAAGTGTCAGTTAGTCTCTGTTTTATACTCTGATGTGCTGTGTGTGCACGGGATTAAAGTATATTTCTGCATTCATTTTAAATGAATTATGTAACCTGGATTATGATATAAAAACATAATCCCAGGCAATACAGTGTATTTCTGTGAAAATCTGGAGACTAGCTGGGAATAAGCCTTAGTAATCCTGTTTTACATACTACAGTATGTCTTATACTGTGTTGTAATATTTTGTTTTTTAAATCTACTTGGTTAAATGTGTTATACTGTTGTCTTGCTTTAAATGAGCGCCACATGACTTCTGTGTGTCCTCCAGGCAGCTCTGGAGGCTTTGGACGACCTCAACCTGTTTGGAGCAAAAGGAGGACCTGGATCTGTGGTCCACGCCTTGGCTGATGACATACAGCACTGCCAGGTACACACACACACATACACACACACACACACACACACAGATGTAAAAACATTCATATGTGATATTAACTTTCCACTTCCTTCCGCCCTCAGTCCATCCTGACGTCCATGTTACCCAGAGCGTCCATCTCTAAAGAGGTGGATGCTGGAGTCCTGGCCATCATCTCGTACCCCGCCTTCGCTGTTGATGACATCAGCCTAGTCAACCTGACCAAGGAGGAGATCATCTCCAAACTGCAGGTGCAGACAAGTGCAGCAGAACAGGAAAAGGATTTACTTTACTGTCAACACAATACAGTCAATATTTGGAAAGAGGAGATCAGCTTTACATATACAAAAGTTAGAAGAAAGTTGGCATGTAGGGCTGCAGCTAAGTAGTAATCTTTAATCACCTTTAAAATAATCTCTCAAGACAGATTCTGCAATCTACATTGTAGAATCTGTCGGCAGCCCTGTGTGAAAGACGACTAGAGAGGGGGGGAGGGCGGGGCTTTGAGTCTGAACGATGCTGCGCTTTAGCCAATCACAATGGAGGGGGCGCGGCCAAGACGTGCAGGTGTCCCCAGGAAATGTGTACCTACAGAAACAGCAAGCTCCGCGTCCATAGCGACCGCTCCAGTAATGCCGTCTCGTCAACGTGAAAAAAAATATTTTTTCCAGCGGATGTCTGAGTTACAACATGATTGAGCTAACTGGAGTAGTTTCATGTCGTATCCGACAACGGGAGGCTTTTAACAGATGACATCCTGATGTTAGCTTTGCTAACTGTCCCTGCCAGCTGCAGCCACTGATGCTTTCTAGACATCGTGATTTCCCATAACTGAATAAATACCACACATAGCAACACAAAACTGCTTTGCTACCTCAATTATGTTGTAACTAAGATATCCGCTGGAAAAAATATTTTATTCACGGACTGTTTATTGAGTTATTACCTTATTTTTATACAGTCTATGGTTATAGACAATGCTAACGGCTAACGTTAACAGCTAACGGTTAGCCCAGCTAATCTACGATAACCATATTAATTACGTGCACACAGAAATAGTAATGTTTGTTCAGTCATTGTGTTTATAGACTTAACAAACATCACATTAGTCTACACGGTGATATAGTGACATGAAAAATGTGATATATAGCTAAACTCTGCTGGTTTCCTACCCGAAGTATTTGTAAACAACATGGCGACTCCCTGGGGGCACCGCCGGAAGTGAAGGGCGTGAGGCCCCTTCACTTCTGGTTAGTCGAAAAACTCCGGGCTGTGCCTCCAGAGGTAAAGGAAGAAAAAAAAAAAAATTTTTTACTGATGGATTTTCAGATTGCCTTTAAAATAACTGATTTATTGTTTATTCTTTATGCAATATCAGAAAATCCTTATCACAGCTTAATACAGTCCAAAACAACTTTCTGATTCACAGTATTTATAAAAGACAAAATACTTTGTTCAGGATAAAACAGTTAAGTTCTGGACTTATTTTCGTTGCGTGTACCTGTTGTAAGTGTTGGAAATTTTCTTCAAAGTTTGCCAAAAAGGATATTAAATGTTAAGATAAGTATGTGTTTGAGAAAGTCGTTTCTCTCTGACCAAGCTGGCGTACAAAATTGGCAATAAAAAGGGGAAGAAGTCTAACTCTGTGTATAAAAATATGCTCAAAGGAAACAAGTTCTGACAAATACATGACATAAAGACAGTATGAAGCCATATTTGATGAACAGGTGTGGATTATTACTGGACTATTAGCTATGGAGAGGAGGATGAGGCAGAATATCTTAACGTAAAGTCATAATTAATGTCACTTGTTTTGATAAAGAGCATTTTTAACAGATGCTGCCAGTGTTCACACCTCATGCATTTGTACACTTAGTGAAACAGCCACAATCTGTGCTCGCTGACTTCCTCTCTGTGTCTGTGTCTGTGTCAGGGTCGATACGGCTGCTGCAGGTTTCTGAGAGACGGACACAAAACACCTAAAGAGGTAAACAACCCCTAAAGGTATATGATAATCCATTTATCTCACTGTGTTCAGATTAGAAGTAATGAGACCAATGTTATTACATGGCATCTCTGTTTAGGTGCATAGTGTTCAGTGTTAAATAGCGGCAGTTTAAAGACAGTAGTGACTCTTGTTGAAAGTCTTAAGCTCTCTACTTCTTTCAGTCTTTTTCTCCTCCTTTCTTATGAGCCTCAGTGGCCAGACACTTCTACATTAAGCAGCTGAATGAATTCAAACAAGTCCGCTTAAAAAGGGCTGAGTGTGGCAGGAGCTGTGTGTCATGGTCAGCGTTGCTTAGCTCTTACGTAACGGGTTCTTGGAGGAGGCTGTTTGGATTAATGGACTGCAGCGAAAGGGTTCACTTTATCTTGACATGTTCTTTTGTGCTCCGATTTTTTTTTATGCTTTTTGGCTTTTGACGACACTGTTTTGGTGCCGCTTGGTGTAGAATACATTAGACAACATTTCAGACTAAGACATTTCTAGAAAAAAGAAGCTACAAATTAGCCCTTGCACACATTGATCTAATGTAAGTGAATTCTGCCTCTGTTTTCTCGTCTTTGTTTCTCCAGGATCCAAACCGCCTGTATTACGAGTCTGCAGAACTGAAGCTGTTTGAGAACATAGAGTGCGAGTGGCCTCTGTTCTGGACCTACCTCATACTGGATGGCATCTTTATCAACAGCCCCGAGCAGGTAATTTACATCAGCTTGTGTGTTTCCATTCCAAGCATCATTGTGTTGACAATATGTATACACGCCTCTGTGGATATTTACAGTGTAGATGTTTGATTTTACTCTGTTCGTCGTTCTAGGTGCAGGAGTACCAGGAGGCTCTGGAGGGCATCCTGATCAAGCAGAAAGACGGGATACGACTGCTGCCAGAGCTCTACAGTGTCCCCCCAGATAAGGTAATGCATTTCAGGGGAAGCTGTAGAAATTCTTGATGACGTGAATCTTTATAAGGTATTTTAAATGTGCTTGTATGGTTCATTCATTGTGTTTCTGCAACAAATGAGACAAAGGAAATTTACAGTTTGAACTTTTTTTTGTATCTTTGTATTGTTTGTTTGTGTGTGTGAACAGGTGGAGGAGGAGTATGTGAACCCCCACTCTGTGGAGAGGATCCCAATGGGTAAATGTCCTCTGAAATGGGGACAGTCTCTGTACATCCTTGGAAACCTTCTGTCCGAGGTGAGCAGTAAGGTCACGAGCTATAAGGGAAATTCTGTGGATTTTCAACCAGCTCTGTGTCATCGTAGTGTGTGCAAGTAAACAGTGTTAGGCTATCCCCCATGCCACGAGCATCTGGACCTCCCCAGCCCATCCACTGGCAATAGGCAGGGTTTCTGTGAAGTGTAATTGATTCAAAACACACATTAAACACACATTAAACATGGCTTAATAAAGACAATTTCAAACACAAGTACACAAATCAGCTTCACTATAACTAGCTGCATTCACAGACAAACACTTGTCTTTATCTGGACATATTTTGCCCACAAATACAACATGCTAATGTTTTTAGCACAAGCCTATGGCAATTTACATTGTATAAATTAGCCTAGTGGCTAGTGGACTTTTCCTCTGCTCATATGAAGCCAGGGACAACAGCAACATTTAACAAAGGTAACGTTACAAAATTCGGCTCCGTTACAGCTCACAAGGTTCACTGACAAAACAACTGTCTTATACTAAACACGTTTTCCAAACAAATATGACATGCACAAGACTTAAAATGCTATTTTTGTGGAGGCTTTATTGTCTACACAATCTATTGTTTCTTATCTGTGAAATTAAAGTAAATAAAAGATTTGTTTCCACTGAGGGTTTCAGCTTATAAAGATAGACAGGAGGTCTGCATCGCCGTGACGTGTAGTTACATATCCGGGGAGGTGCACATCAGATTGTGGCATAGGCTGTGGTGTAAATTGGCAAGGTTTCCCTTTAAGGTGGATTATTTTCGAGAAAAAATGTATGAAGTGAATACCAGGGAGTTCTTAAGCTACTAATTTCTAATTCTGACTTCTTTTCTGCTTTCTAATTATTTTGTGCCTATTAAACTCGTTGCTTTTGCTCCACTGACTCTGTTTCTTTGTTTCATTTATGTACAGCATGTATGTTACAGTATAAATGTTTTCTGTTAAATGCTAAACAAATTTATTTTATAATGTTATCATGATAAAATTATCCTTAGGTTGTAGAGCTTTAGCATATTACAGTGTCTGATAATGTTCAGGTTAAGTTAATGTGTTGTCTTCATTTTCACTTGTTTTTTTTTTTTTTGTTGTTGTTTTTTATGCTCAGTCTCACTTTCTTACCCAACAAACCAAAATCTTGTGGATTTTTGGACTCTGACATTCAAAGCTCCGTCTCATTTTTCCAGGGATTTCTGGCCCCCGGAGAGATCGACCCTCTTAACCGACGTTTCTCCACCATCCCAAAGCCTGATGTGGTTGTACAGGGTGAGTTCCCAGATTAGTGTTGGAAATTCTGGATACACTCCAAGTGACGTGTATATTGGTGTCAGTGGTTTAAGTTTTTTGAAACATGTTCAAACCTCTTCCCTCTCATAGTGTCGATTCTGGCAGAGACTGAGGAGATTAAAGAGCTGCTGCTGAAGAACGGTATAGATGTGGAGACTGTTGCTGACATCCATCCCATCCACGTGCAGCCCTCCAGAGTCCTCAGCCACATCTACGCCAGACTCGGTACAAACTCAGAGGGCTTTTTCTTTTAAGATAAAGTTAGACCAAAACCAAATTTGAACTCTCATTTGTTCATTTACTCTTATTTATTTATTCATATTTATAAATTCATCCATAAAACATGAATGGAAGTAGGGAATATGGGGCCATTGTACTCTGATTTATAATTGTTGTTGTAAAAGAGTTTCTTTTATCATTTTTATTGATTGATTTCACATGAGAACAACCTCCTCAATAGTTTAGATTTGATTTATTCTTAGTGTTTCATGGTTTATTACACTCTTTGTACGTAAGAGATGAGTATTACAATTAATACAGTTAATTAATATCTCTGTTTATTTTGCCTTGTGCATTAATATGATGCATTCAGTTGCGATATGTGTCCTTATCAAAGTGTGACTCTTACGAAAAAAGGACTCCAGACACCATTGAGACATGAGACACTGAGATACTGTTACTTGCTTCACTTAATGATGAGTAAAGGCCTTGTGCCATTGAGGGGTAATACTGCTTGGCCCAGCAGCTGTTGGAGCTAAATTTAAATCAGTTAGTCCCCTATGAATGATGAGGGACTTAAGTTTTTCACGGCAATGCTGAGAATTTTCAGCGATTTGGAGTCCGAGATCTGAGAAAATGCAACTTTTTGCTGCTTGTATCGTTCAGAAAACATCAGATCTGAGTCACAATAAAGGGTAAATAATTGAATTTAGACACTTTAAGTTTAATAGCTACACAAATGTTTACCTCTCCAGGTCTTTACTCACCCTTCTCCCCTCTTTACCTGCTCTGCTGCAGGTCGTAACCCGAGGCTGGGTCTGACAGGGCGGCCTTACAGGAGAATAGGAGTCCTGGGAACCTCCAAATTCTACACCATCAGGAACACCATCTTCTCATTCACACCTCAGGTTAGTAAGGAAACATACAGTGTCTTGGGATAAGATATTTATAGCCAGTGGTAAAAGGTATCCAAGTACCTTAAACAAGTACTGCACCTCTCAAATGACTATTTGTTTATCAATTATTCACCCCGCATTATGTTGAATTTGTGAAGGAAACATTTTTCTTGCATGCCTCAACGGTGAACGAAGAATCCAAAAACAAAAAAATTCTTGATGAATTTAAGTCACAGGAGTATAGTTTAACAACAGTAAAACTATATTAAAACATTTACTAACAAACTCTCACACATCTCGTGCAGCATAATCCAAGTCTCATTTATCCAGTCGTGTGCTAGAAAGGAAACACTGTACTTTTTACTCTCCTATATATATGTTTTTTGAATTTAGTTACTTTACAGATTCAGACTTTCACCTTATTGCTCAAAGTCCTCCATTCTTATAGTCTGTGTTTGCCAACTTGAAGACATCATAAAAGACCAAATACTCACTGGATTCACTTCTCATCCTGGTGGAAAAAAATGCGAGAGTCATCCCTTCGTTTCTCCCCTTAAACCCTCCAGTTCATCGACCACCAGCAGTTCTACTTGGCGTTGGACAACAAAATGATCGTGGAGATGCTGAGGACAGAAATTGCCTACCTCGCATCCAGATGGAGGATGACTGGACGACCCACTGTCACTTTTCCCATTTCACAGTCTATGCTGAGTATGTACACACACACACCATGTATCTACAAGTGCTTATATGTTTTAAAAAGTGTTGGAAAATGTATTAAGTTTAGTCGTTGAAGGTGCTGTATGTCCACTGTGAAACTGAAGGGTGAAGTTAGTATTGCATGATGCAGTCTGTCTGTTTAACTGAGATTGGGAAATCTTGAATTTTATATATATGAATACTAAAACTCTACATGTATAAACTGTATGTATTCCTTGTGTGTGTATGTGTGTGTGTTTCAGCTGAAGACCGTACAAACCTGGACCCTGCAGTTTTGGCCACACTCAAGAAGCTACAGGATGGATATTATGGAGGAGCAAGGTGAATTTTACCAAAGATACTGAGGAAGTCATGCCCCATGTTTTGCCTCTGCGAATTTCAGGAGGTTTTACAACAGGAAGAGGAGTTTACATTATACATTTATACACAAAATATACAGTATACAGTGGACTTTGTGTTTGTAGATGAAGCATTTTTAATTTCAGTAAAGAAAAAAATAAAATAAATGAAATTGAAGGGGTTTAGTAAATCCCTTCCAGAATTAAGATGTACATACATCTGGGTCTCTAACCTCAGTATTCCTACTTTAAAATCCTGTCCTCCTTTCCAGGATCCAGACAGGGAAGCTGTCGGAGTTCTTGACCACTTCCTGTTTCGCTCACCTGAGCTTCCTGGAAGGTAAGGGTTCTGGTAGCATGATCCGCCACGACGAAGAGTATGATGATGAGGGTGACAGCGATGGATACGTGCATGAATTGCGCCATGATGATGGTAAGAAAAAACAGATTGATGGATGGGGAGGAATGGTGACACCAGGGATGGAAACATTTATTAACGATGGAGGTCACGCTGCCAGGTGGCAGTGGTTTGTTTTCCATTGTTGGTTTGACCTTTCCTGGTGGTATGTATTCCTTAAATACATACATGGTCATAAACTGTAGAAGCACATAGAAGCTTTGCCTGTATGTACTGTGAACAGGGTTCCCCTCCATAAGATCTTTTAAAGATCGTGAATTTGAGGGGAAAAAATGACTAGCGCTAAAATCTTCCTGGATTTTTTCCCCACATGGAAATTCTGACCAATCAAGAGCAGCTTTCTCATGCAAGGCATTTGATCTGGTCCACTTGTAAATACTGCTGTGAAAACATGAACCAACTCTAGGCAGTTATACAACTTTGTAATAAAATGAGTCCCTGATTCAGACCAAAGCAAGACAACTCTAGGTCTGAAAGCACCCTCAGACTATGCCATGTTTGGTCTTTGAATTTGAGGGACTTGTGCCTGGAAGTCCTTGAAAAGTCCTTGAATTTGATGTTCAACAAGGTGTGTGAACCCTGTGTTAGGACCATGATTCACCTTTTAAGAGACTCAAAATTACACATGAACTGCAATACATGTAGGTTACAACATGTTTATGTCTCCCAGAAGAAAAAAGACCAGATGAAGTTTGTGATTCTTGTAGTTTTTCTTGTAAGATTTCGAATTGTCTTCTAATTATATGTACCTGTCTTTGAGAGTGATGTCATTCAGCTAACCCCTTAATTTGAAATCCAAAAATAACAAAAAAGATCCTTTGATATGTGTTATCTGTATTTAATCTCAGCAGAAACATGACATAAAACTAAGTAACCTGTTGCAGATTCTCATTAATCACCAATTCTTTTATTGCTACTCTTTCTCCTGTCCCCATCCTCTCTGTGTAGCTCTGCTGGTTGTTTAAATGTTTCTCAACCTTGGACATGCGGATGCCACACCAGCCTTATTGCTGTTTAAAATCAAACACAAAGTAACTCAAATTCACATGACGGCTGAAGCTGCAGGCTTCATGGCTTGAGAAGGTTGAGAAATGCTGCTTTACTTGTGTTGCATTTAAAACAACTGGTACAGATTTTAAAGCTTTGAATCAAGTCATTTCCTCACTGGATTTGGATTTAAATTCAAATATTGACAGTTCAGCGTGTTTAAACAGGTCTTGTTGTTGCATTGAGTGCATAGCTGGCTTAACATGCATGCATGTTAAGCCAGCTACGCACTCAATGCAACAACAAGACATGTTGTTGTTGCATTGAGTTTGTAGCTGGCTTAATTTAACATGCATGTCTTAAAATGTCTTGTCTGACAGCTGCTGTGAATGTATGAATCAGCATCACCATCTACAGATGAACCTTATATCAAAATCATTAAGCATTTTGATTAGGAATGAGGCATGTTGTGAGCTTCATGGTTTAAAGGGTCAGTTCACCCAAAATCTGTGTGTATGTAGCCATGCAAATAATGTTGGTTTTAAATATCTGTGACTGCTGCCAGCCCAAAACACTTAACATTTTCATTTAAAATACCTTAACAGCAGTGTGAATTTATAACAGTTTTAACTAGATTCTAACTTCTAAGCTCAGTGTATGGCTAGATACCACTGTGTGTGTGCATGATAAAATGTGTTTCAGGGGGATTTGGGTGAACAACCCTTTTTAAAAACTGCATGTTAAATGTCAAAATATGTTTCAAAATAACAACACTTTTTAAAATTTGAATTCTTTTTATAAATAAGATGGTTTAGTTGAGATGTTAGGGTTTCTTAAGGACTTATGTGTTCACTGAATAAAGGTGAGTTGAATCTGTTGGTATTTAAAACTCAATAAACCTTTTTCCTTTCTGCTCTCTATCTCTGTATCTCCATCCCCCACACTTCTGTTCTTTTATTTTTCCCCCACTTTTCAATTGTCTTTCTCAACCTCGTCCTTCTTGTCCTCCTCTGCAGAGGCCGACGACCTTGCGCAGTACCTGGACCACCTGTTGGCTCACGCTGCCCCCAAGAAGCCCAAGCGGCAGATCGGAGGTCTGGGGAGGTTCAAGGCTGCGGCTACCAAAACCAAGGAGATGGTGACTCTGATGAACAAGGCTCAGAACCTGGACGTACAAAGTGAGCTGATCCTTCCTCTCACAAAAATATCCCAAAGATATAGACACTTACTGACACCTGACTGTTTCTTTTGTCCAGATGTGAACATGTACCTGCCGAACAAGCTGTTCCGCTCTCCTCAGTCTTCCCTCAACCTGAACCTCCCAGACTCCTCTGCACAGCAAGAAACTCAGGTGTGTTTACGAGACCTTTAATCTCGATGTAGTTGCTCTATGTATGTTCTATGTATGCAGCTTTAACTTTCCACCTCTGTCCTCCAGGCTCCGCAGGCGAGCGTCTCAACAGAAAGCGGCATCCCCAAAGATGCCAGTGGAGGCATCGACTACAACGCTTTGGTCCAGCTGCTAAAAGACACGCAAAGTCTCCAGGACCAGGCTGATATCCTCTACATCCTCTTCAAAGACAAGTGAGATACATGGTTTAGTTTAGCTTTATTGGGACTGTTATGTCAAATTTAAAGGGACAGTTCACCAGAAAATCAAAAATACATCTTTTTCCTCTTACCTGTAGCACTATTTATTGATCTAGTTTGTTTTGGTATGAGTTGCTGAGTGTTGGAGATATCAGCCGTAGCGATGTCTGCCTTCTCTCCGATATAATGGAACTAGATGGCACTCGGTTTGTGCTGCTCCAATTGCCAAAAATATATATATATTTGAAAAATTCAACAGCAATGTCTCTTTCCAGAAACGATGACTCTGTTACTCAAGATAATCCACAGACCTTTAGTGAGTAGTTTCATTTAGGAACTATTTTCTTTCTACTGAGTCACACCCACCAACTGCATCACCACGCAGAAACAACTAGTTCAAGAACCTTTAGTTTTTGTTTTGTTTTTAGTAATTTAGTGCTTTAAAATTCATCTCAGAATTGTGTAGGAAAAACGTTTCTGTACATCAACGCATAAGCAGAGATGTTAGCAGAGCTGGTAGTGTATTTTAAAGATGGTTGCTTGTAGAGCTAGAAGAAGAGACAGATAAGAAGCTCTTCTCTGCAGCATTAGGCAGTATTTTTCCCGTATGTTTCTGTATGGTTATTAGGGGTGTAAATCACCAGTTTCTTCACGATAGAATATCATATCGATTCTTTGGACAACCATATGATATTACAAAGTCTGCCACAACACGATTTCGTTTCGATACGATTCAGGGGCCTGCGATCGACATGACACCATATTATCTGCCCATATAACACAGTCTCTTACAGAAGAAGCTGCCACACCTTCCTTTCTTTTATGCTTTTGGCCATGAAAGATAAAAACAACACATAAATAATGTAGTAGTAAGTAATTGTAACTGCTTAAGTGCAGTAAAATTTACTTAAAACCGACTCCAATAGCACAAACAAAACAGCACATGGGATAAGTAAACCTTCAGGGCTTTTTGGCAGAAAGCCCTTTCTGAAAGACAGTTTTCATTTGAACCCAAACCATCATCTGTTTCCTACATTTTCAGGTCTATCTGAAGGCAAACTTCTCCCAACAACCAAACAAAACATCATTTGAAATAAGTATCAAATTCAGCTCAGTAACAGCTGACAGGGTTCACAGACATGTCAATTGTTTTTTGCTTGTCACACATTATTAGCTTAAGTATGTTTACAATGCATAAATTAGCCTAGCGGCTAGCAGACTTTTTCCCTATACTCATAGCTTAACAAAGTTGTTATTTTTCTTACTCCCCGTTGGTTTAAGTCACTGTATCTCCTGACAGAACGGCTCTTTTGAATTTCAGCCTGCATGCACTGTTAATCGGCCCAGTATTGTTGAACAGAGCAGCTAATGTTGCTGTAGCTGAGTGAGAAGCCTGACTAAATAGGTATCGTGACGTCATGTTTTATCTTGTAACATTGTTTACACACACCATGTGCTCTGTCTGTTGACCTGTACTCCATGGAGTCCATCCATGGATTTCCATGCTGGTGATTTAGACACCCCTAGTTGGCACCAATAATTTAAAATGGCATTTAAAGGAGTTGTAATAGGATATGAAAACAATAAATGGTATGAGCAGCCGTACTGCCAGCAAACATGCCAGCATGAAAATGTGTCACATGTTTTTTATGTACCGTATGATCATCTTGAGGATTCATACTCGAGGTCGTCTAAAGGTTCTGTAAATTGACCAGAAGGGGCAGCTGTAAGTTTGGCCAAAAAAAGTTAAAAAAGCTGCTGTTGTTGCTTTTGTTTCCATCCCAGGGGCATGGAGTGGGACACTCTGCTGCAGGGTAAGGGCACCACGGTGAGATCTCTGCTGTCTGACCTTTATGAGAAGGCAGGTGAACTCAAACACTGGAGCCTCATCAGGATGATCTCTGGCATACTGAAGAAGAAGGTGGAGGAGCTCGACTCGGTATGACTCACACACACACACGTAAACATAGACAGAGTTATAAATAAAACAGGGTGACATTCACTGAATAGGCTTTCACTCTGTCACGGAGGCCATGTTTTTGTGCATGTGAAGGCCTCTGCACATCAAGTCTGTCATTTTTGTTTGCTTTTTCTTTTTTTGTTTGTTATTTTTGTTGCGAAAATTTGGAATACAAGGCAAAATAAGAGGTTAAAAATTAGGAGCTTTAACTGAAAAAGATTGCGTCAGAGTTATGAGTGTAAAGCTTTAACCTCCTTTCATTCTTTAGAAGTCCGAAAGGGAAGTTTGCAGGGCAATCAACTCTGTAAATAAAGTTTATATTAATTTACATTCCCCCAGCGCTGTTTTCTGATTGGCTGTGATCTGTTCTCAGGCCTGCTCTGATTTGCTGGCGCACCAGAAGCACCTGACAGTGGGCCTCCCCCCTGAGCCCAGAGAGAAAACCATCACTGCTCCCATCCCTCCTGACCAGCTGGCCGCTCTCATCGACGAGGCCAGCGACAACAACATCAGCGTGGCCATACTCACTCAGGTGAGTCACGTCCTCTGCCGTCATTTAGGAGTTTATCCTCCCGTCTTCCTCTTTAACCTTCTCCTCTCTCCTCTGTCCTCCAGGAGATCATGGTGTATCTGGCTATGAGCATCAGGACTCAGCCCAACCTGTTCAGTGAGATGTTCAGGCTCCGTATCGGCCTCATCATCCAGGTCATGGCCACCGAACTGGCCCATTCGCTCAACTGCTCAGGTAAGGAAGGAAAGAGAGAGAGAAGATGATGTTTTAACTATGGATTAATTTCTCTATTAATCAGTTAATGATTTGCCTGTCAGTCCAGAGCCCAAAGATCTCTGTTTTGAAATGCGTTAACTTTTCATTTGTGCTTTTGTGGTCAAATTAAAGACAGACTGAGTGTGTGAAAATCTATTGACAACTTTATCAATAGGCTTTAATATGAATTTTCAATGTGTTTTATCTCCTAAACTGGTAATGTTTAAGGGATAGTTCACCCCAAAAACATTGCTAAAAAAGCAAACTGTCTCATATACTGTAGGTTCATCTAAGCCATCTGTGAAACCATTAACGGGGTTCCCATAGGTCCTTGGAATCCTTGGACATTTGTGAATGTTAGGGGGGAATTTTAAGGACATAATTAGACATGGTTGATTAAAAATTCTTTAATTTATATATTTTGCACAAGAACAGAAATTGAGGTCCTTTGATATTATTTTTACCTAAGGCTCTTGTTGTCTTTGGTCTTCTAAAAAGCCTGCTAGTTCTCATTATAAAAAAAATCTCAGTGTTGTAGCAGTACGTAACTTTGATCCTTGTCCCAAACTACGCCTTTTTGGCTCCTTGAATTTGAGGAATTTGGGCTTGTAAAGTCCCTAAAAGGTCCTTGGATTTAGTGTTTGAGAGATGTGGGTATGACCCACACAATGACCAACAAGTGTATCTATACAGCTCATGCAGAGCAGGTGTCATGTTTTGCAGAATTATCTTTAGAATTTTATTGATTTTTGACACACTGGGTGTGGTTACATGATGGCTTCTCATTCATGAAATAAATCTGAATGAAATCATTCGGAATTAAAGTCTTTCCAGGTAGTTTACATGGGAAGTATTCATTCCGAATGAGGGTTTACACGGGAGATCAGTTTAGTCGCCTTTATTCGGGTCTGCACAAGGTTTGGGGCAGGGAAGGTTTCTGATTGGATAGGGGGCGGGACGGATGTTACGTGTTTCCATTTACCGGAAGAAAACACTGTAGTCCTCGCTCCGGATAACAAGATGCTTGACGCCGCCGTTCTTAGTGCCTTTTTCGGACTTGTTTTGCTTATATTCCTGAAGCAGCAGTACGACAACAACCTTGTTCTGCTAATGCTTCATCTGTTGAGGAGGAGAAGAGCAGTAGAAGGTTGAAGAAGGGAGATAGAAGACCGTGCTTTGGCATATGGAAACCGGTGAATGCAATGAGTCCGACTGCTCTATCTCAGCCTGTTGCTATGCGCACTATATACGTCATCGTGCCAGAAGGGCAAGGAAACGAGCATGCACAGAAAGACCGGAATGAACTTAAAGAGGAATGAGCGTTTACATGCACACAAAATTCTTTCATTCGGAATGACAAACGGAATAAAGCACCCCCTTTAATCGGATTTAATTTTCAATTGGAATGACTGTTTACATGACCACTTTTAATCGGAATGGCCTTTCAATCCGAATGAAAGTGGAATTAAACTGTACATGTAAAAGTACTGAATGTTACACGGAAACAACAACATTAAGAGAGGAAGGGAAAAAAAAGGGATCACCTCTTCAAGAGGATCTTGGTCTGGTTGTTTTGGTGTGCATCCAAGTGTGATTGCCGTGTTCACACCTGCCCAAACAAACCACACCTAGTAGGGAAACAAACTTGGGTTCAATTGAACTGAACCAAACAGGGCAAGTGTGAAAGCACCCTTAGATTTTCAATCAGAGTAATGAGCGACTATGGTAAGACAAAGTGGTTTCTTGCTTTTGAAGTGGCACCATCCTGTACTTGTGTGTGTGTGTGTGTGTGTGTGTAGGAGAGGAGGCCACAGAGAGCCTGATGAGTCTCGGCCCATCAGAGCTGAAGAATCTCCTCCACCACATCCTCAGCGGGAAAGAGTTTGGAGTGCAGCGCAGCGGTCAGTCCTGTATGGTACACACAGCCAACTGGATTCTGTTCTATCACTCAGTTTTTGTATGTTTCATATCATCATAATTCATTTTTCCGGCTCCACAGTTAGAGAGCTGGATGCCGGCATCAGTCCTGCCATCTCCATCCATCACCTGGGCAACGTGGGAGCCACCAAGAGTGAGAGAGCCGGCATCAGCAAACTGAAGAGCGACATGAAGATGGTAGGGTTACCTGTGGTTGTGAGATTACACACACTTCTTATTTCTCTTATTACCAAAGAGACAAACTGTCTGAGTATTGGTACTTATCTCCAGTGTGTCATTCAAAGTAGATATCAAAATGATAACGATGATGGAGACGTGTCTTTTTGGCAAACTGACTCTTGTCTTTTCACAGCTGGAGCACAGGTTGTCTTTGACGGATCCCAGTAAGGTGATGATGGTGACATTAGGTGGTAATTCACCTGGCTGAGGCTGATGGGGAAAAGGGCATTGTGGAGAAATGAAAGGGGCGAGCTGCATCGCAGGAGAATTGTGGAAATAATTAAGAATAACTGAAGCTGGTTGTTGATAAAAACGGAGATTTGTGCTTCTGAAAAATCATCAGTAGGGTGAAATGAATCATTGAGACTGAGATTCAGTTTTAAATAAATCACTGGAGCAGCTTGTTGACTGTGATTTATTTACAACTTGATTTCTGTGTTGCAGGCGGAGCGCAGGTTGTCCTTGATGGATCCATTTAAGGTGATGATCACATGAAGGAATATTAACTATCGCAGTGTTATATCTGTTTCTTCTTTCTCTTTTTTAACTGCAGACATCAATAGTTAAGAAATAATGTTAAGTGAAGTAGAAAATCAATAACATGCTGTAGGTGTTAATTCACCTTCCATGTAAACATCACCAATCAGAATATCACAGAGGACTTTTTTCATAGTTGTCCTTGAGTCTGTCAGTTACAAATGAAATGTGTCCCAGAGCTTTCAGCTGCTTCTCACTGCCTTCATCATCAGATAGAGAATGCTTAGCTGTAGGTGTTCAAACTTTTAGGACTTCTCGTCCACATCGAACAGCAGCTGGCAGAACAGTCTCAAGGATGTGAGACTTCTGCTGCTTCTTCATCTTCTTCGTCTTCTGCTGCTTCTTCTTCGTCATCTGCTGCTTCTTCATCTTCTTCGTCTTCTGCTGCTTCTTCTTTGTTGTCTGCTGCTTCTGCTTCTTCTTCGTCTTCTGCTGCTGCTGCTGCTTCGTCGTCTGCTGCTGCTGCTTCTTCTTCTACTTCATCTTCTGCTGCTGCTTCTTCTGCTGCTGCTTCTACGTCTTCTGCTTCTTCTGCTGCTGCTTCTTCTGCTTCTTTTGCTTTGTCTTATGCTGCTTCTTCTTCTGTTTCTTACCACCTTCTGAAATGGGGTGTGGATCAGAACAAACCCTTGACCTACATTATATCATTCTGCTTATCCCTGTCTTTTCCAAAGTCTTATTCAGGTTTCTGAAAACAGGATGTGGTGTTTACATGCTCAAACACATAAACAGTATACACGATCAGTAACCGCTTATTCATGTCCATGTAAACACACTCATAGATGAGGAGTCCTCTGAAGCTTGAACACATACAGAACAAACTCCATCTGCTGATTAAGACCAGCTAAGCAAACAAGAGGACCTTGAGTTGAGATTGTTTCGCTGTTATCAAGGTCAGGAATGACTTGTCAAGTTCGAAGTCATAATGTTGCCTGTTCTGTCTTTGTTTTGATCCAGGACCCCAGGTTGTCTTTGACAGATCCGGGTGCAGAGGTGATGATGATGATGATGATGTTAATTCACCTGTGAAGCTGTGATGCTCTGCAGTGTTGAGAAGGATGTTATTCATGTGCTTTTGGCTTCTGCTGTGGAAAAGGAAATATGGCTTTGCTCCTGGTTGTCAACAAATAGTGCAATTCATTGTGTTTCCTCTGTTGCAGATGGACCGCAGGGTGTCTTTGACTGACTCAGTTAAGGTGATGATGATAATGACATTCATTAGTCTGTAAGAAGCCAGGGAGGATTAGATGCTGAGATGTGATTGTGGTAAATCGGCTGCCGGGGAAGTGAATCAAACAAAATACTCAACATATAATCGAAGTTTAATTTTATTCTGACGCAGATGCAGAAGGATCACAGGTTGTCTTTGCCAGACCTCAGAGTGATGATGGTGATGATGATGGTGTTGGTGGAGGCGTCAGTGATTAGACGTTATTTAGCTGATTGAAAAGGTCTTGATGAATTTGATATTATCCCTGAAATATAGACAGATAAAAGTGTTTTTTATGCCTTGGAATTTACAAATATAAAAGTAATGTTATGTTTCAGGAACGATAGATGGTTTGGGTGTAAAAGGGATCACAGGAAGTTGAAGTGTTTAATGCAGAGTGGATTTGTTGTCTCCGTTTCAGCTCGACCAGTCACTGAGCTTCCCTCGAAAGGTGACAGTCACATTTAAACGTGGTTTTCTGGGTGTTAATTCAACTGAAATACTAAAAGTCATCATACGAGCCTTTAACACTGCTTCAGTCTAGCAGGGCTGCATTTTTAATATCAGTGGTTATTAATTATTTATTGTTAGTAAAGCTGCAACTAATGACTGTTTTCAGTGTTAATTTGCTGATAATTTTCTTGATTAATTGTTAAAAATAATTCCAGAAACGTAGTCACAAATGGTATTTTATACAACCAACAGTCTAAAATCCAAATATATCAAATGTATTTTAATTTGAATCAAAGACAAGAAGCATGTTTTTATTTATTTTGTTTAAACATTTGTTGCCGATTTTCTGTTTCAGCTGTAATTTTTTTATTTTAGATGAATAATGTATTGTGAGTTAAACATTTCCGATGGAACTGATCTATATTTGAAGATGTCACTGTGGTTGATGATTCCAGAAGTGTCCCCGAAATTTATTAAAAACCATAATTTCCAGAAGGACACATGGTACTAAAGTATTCAGGCTCTTGTACTTTAAAGGTCCAGTGTGTAGGATCCAGGTGGATATACTGGCAGAAATATAATATAAGAAGTGTGTTTTCTTTAGTGTATAATCACCTGAAAATAAGAATTGTGAATATTTTTGTTACCTTAGAATTAGCCCTTTATATCATAGGGAGCGGGTCCATCATGTCGCACCGCCATGTTTCTACAGCAGCCCAGAACAGACAAAGCAAACACAAAAAGAGCAGCCAAGGAGGAGACCTCTGTGGACAATTAGGCTACCACTAAAAACCTCTTGAGCAATGAACACTGACGCAATCCTTGCTTGGAGTCCATGCCTGACACACAGGAGAAGTTTCAGCTGGTTGCAATCTGCAATCCTCCCCGCCAAGTGCCACTAAATCCTACACACTGTTCCTTTAAATAAAATGGACGCTAGCCCTTTAACTCGCTGTTAAATCGCTGCTACATGGTGATGAAGTTTGGCTTACGTTTCACTCGTGTGCTGAGTTTGGAGCCATTTTGTGCCGAACATGCTGATGATTTAATCAGTTTATTTTCTTGTTGTTTTCTAACTTCATTTCTATCATTCTCCATGCTGGTTCACGCATGCTGTAACGCTTAATTTAGGGATGTAAGAAGCCAGGATCCACTGGTGTCGGGATGGTTTTGTTTTCATCACTGTTCCAAGCCATCGACCTCACTCACCACACTGTTATTTTCTCATTTTTTGTGGTTTTCATTTTGTGCATCTTTTTCTGTTTCTCTCCCTCCTTTCTGTTCTCTTCTTGCCTCTCAGGGCATGAGAGCTCAGTCTGTGGACTTAGAAACCTTTGAATCTGGGGTAAAGATTGTCTATTAATCAGATATTTTGAGTTGTATACGCTTATTCTAACACAGTTCAATACAAGCAACTAACATCAACACTCAGGTCACATTTGTAGTCTGCTTGCTTTATGCCTTTATAAGAGAAAGAGGGTTCCGTTTTTCCACGACAAACATTGCTTTAAATCCCTTTTTTGTGTATATCATTGTGGCTGTTTAGAGGTACAGGCTGCCGTCCATAGAATCTCTGGATATTCCAGACTTTGTGCCAGTTGCCAAGGATACCAGACATGGCCAGTGGCTGCGCAGGAGGCGTCTGGACGGAGCGTTGAACAGAGTCCCTGTAGGCTTCTACCAGAAAGTCTGGAAGATCCTGCAGAAGGTCAGTTTCACCAGTTCAGACATTGATTTTCAAACTCTAAAGTAAATCTAAAATGTCCTTTAGCATTTATGACACAATTGTTGTACATTAAGTAATGACCACATTGTCTTCTAGTGCCATGGTTTGTCCATAGAAGGTTTCGTCCTTCCTTCTTCAACCACCAGAGAGGTAAGACGTCCACTTGTCTGTTGTTCATAAAAACAAAACAAAACAAATTTCTAATTTCATTCAGTATGTTGCAATGTATTCTTTAACGATCATAAACTGTAACTGCTGCAACAGCCGCAGCAAATGTAGTTACGTTGACACCAAAAATGTTTAGCGCTGGTCAGGGGATGATTGGCAATAAAAAATATTTCAAAGGAGGTACATTGTTGAAAGGAGTTTGAGAAACACAAGAACTCAAAATTAAGGTTTGCCAGAGTGATAACACACTTGCCATTTAGATTTTGTCATTTCAATTAGTTTTAACGGACACTTGCCAGCCAGTCAGAAATTGACTGAAATGTGTGCTGATTTTTAATGGAGATGTACAAATTTCATGTTTAACACATACATTAAAATCAGTGTTAAGCCACCATAGGATGTGTTCTGTCGAATGAAAGGTGTCTTGTCTCGTCTTTATCCTCTGAATTCCTCCAGATGACACCAGGAGAGATCAAATTCTCCGTCCACGTGGAGACGGTTTTGAACCGCGTCCCTCTGCCTGAGTACCGCCAGCTGTTGGTGGAGGCCATCCTGGTGCTCACCATGCTGGCCGACGTGGAGATCCCGACCATCGGCTCCATCATCCACGTGGAGAAGATCGTCCACCTGGCCAACGACATGTTCTACAAGGATCAGGTGAGCAGGATGTCAAAAGACACAAATCCAGGATATTTGTTGTTGTGATCAAGTAGGGCAGGATTTTATTTATTTATTTATTTCCCTCTCCTCCAGAGGGACCTGGGAGCGGAGGAGCACATCCTGGAGAGGGACCCGTCCACCGGAGTGTGCAGGCTGCTGTATGACAGCGCACCCAGTGGCCGCTTCGGGAGCATGACCTACCTCACCAAGGCTGTAGCGGTGTACGTGCAGGACTTCCTGCCCAGCGGGTCGTGTGCCGTGCAGTGAGAGGGCGACCCATGAAACCCGAGTAGGGCTGAAACCACTCAGTAGAAAATGAAGTTAAAGCTAAAACTTAAAGCTAACATTTTTCACATTAAAATAATAATTCAACAGTACATGAACAGGATCTGTCGTATGTTGTCGCTAGGCGTGTTAGTGCAGAGTGTGACAGGTGAGAGATACGTGTTAAAGTGTGTTTTATTTATAGACTTTATGAGAAAATGAGAGCAAACTTTAGCAACACATGAACTGTGACATATGTTGTTAGATAAGGTAGCGCTGAGGAGGCGTGGACACAGGGTCAGTCCCCAGTGTTGTGCCATCCTTACCGTCATGGTAACCCCTCTTTGCCTGTGCAAAGGTCACAGAGGAATAAGCTACTGTATCAGGCTTTGGATACACCACAATATTTGCTCATTTTATTATTGTTTTTGGTCTTTTTGTGGGATTTTTTCAACAAAAATAAAAATATAGAATATCACCAGACTTATGCTTAAAATAGCAAAGATTAACTTTCATCTGTTGTAACTATTTTATGGGGAAACAATTGAATTTAATCAGTAGAAACGAGTGTGATTTGACATAACGCATGTGAGTTTTCACTGAACCGACTGACCTAATTTATTACCACATGTGCTTTGCATTGCAGCTCACCTACATAAACCCACCTTACCTCTAACTCTACATGCTGCGTGATGTATAAAATAACGACAAATATAAGATAATCTATCTATTTATTTTATAGCTCTTAAATGATAGTTAAAGACAGCTAAAAGTAGATGTGAGATGTGTCTTAATGATGACGCAAGTCTGTTTGAGAGGTTTCTTGAATGCCTTAACGTTGTTGCACTTGTAAAAGTATGTGTGAAACTACTGGAGTGCTGTTTCATTTTTAACGATGCAAAAGTAGAAGACTGGGAGATTATGTAGGGATGAAAACCACCTTATTTTTTAACAGATTCTGTCCTCTTGAGAAAGAAAATGCCTTAAAATGACTGCTTTCAATGGCTGAACTGCAATTTTACAGTAAAACTTGTAGCCGTCGGTTTTACATTTTTATGGACACATTTCACCTTTGACCATTTGCTGCACAAACGGTTTCAGAGTGTAGTTCATTGAGAGAAAGCAATGCCTCTTGGCTAAAGTACAATAAAGCGACTGCTCGATCAATTATTCTGTGATGTCAGAAGATGTGAGCGCCACACTCCATGTGAACCACAAACAATCATGGCAGAATGAGTCTCTACATAATATTAAAGTCTGAAAACAAAGGAAACATTGAATTGTATGTTACCAGATATCAGTGTCCACTGAACTGTTGGATGTTTTTGTTTTGAAGCTAATTCTGTAATAAAACCGATAAAAATACTCTGTTTCTGAGCATCTGTTTACTGACAGTCACAAATTAAGGTCCTTTGTGTTCCAGAGTTTTCAGCTATTTTGATATATAGCGGTTGGTGTTGGCACAATTGTCAGGATTCCTAGGCATTGAATGAATGTTTGGAAGCACCACAAAAAGCGAGTAAGTGGACCTTGAGTGAGGACTGTTTCATCCAAGGTCAACAATGAACGTTTTAGGCTTAATTATCCGATGTTTCTTGGGTTTGCTCATTTGACTTAAGATAAATGAAAAACTCAGTAATGTCACAATACTGGAATTTCTATTGAAAAATGTCGATATTCAATACCATTTTATATACCATGGGAAAATTGACAGGACATAAATTTTGAATTTTCTATTAAAAGATATGTATAACCTCTTCAGAGCTTAAAAAAGCAGTGACAAGCTTTTGTTCACAGTTAATCTTTGAATAAGGTCAAACTATTAATTGTCACAATGAAAACTCTTTTATTTGCAAATGAGTTCAAGCATCCAGCAGGTGGTGCTACATGGGCACTAATTATGGTGACCCTATATTATCTGTAACTGCACAGTCAGTGATGGTGCTTTGTTGTTTTCTGTGTCTCTCTAAAACCACTGCATTGCCAGTGTGTATCAAATATCTGGTATAAATATTCCTCTAAACAAAACTCTAATTGGTCTCATGTAATACCTAGTCTAATCTATAGTCTTTCAAGCCGTAAAGAGGCAGCTTGTAGCCACTACAGCCCCAGCCTGTGTAGAGAGGCTTGCAGGAGAACTTGCGGGCGACAGAGATATCTTTAAAAGAAAACATAAAACACATCTTTATAATCTGGTTTCTATCTAGTGTGTTTCACCTGTCCTTCACTTCAACTGTAATCTCATAAATCTGACTTTTATTGTTAGCCTTATTCCTCTTTAAGGTTTATTTATTCATGTTTTAACTCGTATGTTCAGCACTTGAAGTTGCATTTTATGTACGACTTGTGTTATATCAATGAAGTTTGACTTGATGTGACTTATTTGCTGTTCTAACACTTTTTTTTGGCTATTGCAAAGACTGTAATCTTAAATCTTTTCATGTCAGTATGAAGCTACAGTGTGGACACTTTGGTTAAAGCTGCTGAGCAAGCATGATGTGTTGGAGGGGAAATCCCCCGAAAGGTTTTTAAATCTCAAACAAGTGTTTTGCCAGTATTTGATAGCAGACAGTAGGCGTCAAGAAATGAAGTGGGAGAGAAAAGGGACACCATGCAACACAGGCAAGTATTCAGTATTTATACAAAAGTACTAAACTACAAGCATACAGAAGGTGGAGAAATGAAATACCACAAAACATGCAAAAGTATCAAAGCAACGGCTAACAAAACAGTATTTTTTATATTCCATACCAACTTTCTTCAGGTCATTGAAACAACAGCAAAGAAAAAGTATTTCCCTGTTTTTATTGGGTAATTTGTTTGTTAAAAACCAGTTTAGTGCCAGTTAAACACAATGATATATTCTAAATAACCAGCTAAAGAGCAGTAGGACAACTGGACACTTTTTGCAGCCAAGAGCAGCTAAATCTGAACATTAAGGCCTTTTTACTTATTGTCTAATTAAAACATTGTCATTTCTCCCTCTGAATATCAAGGAGAAGACTGGCTTTCAACATAGGGCATGTTCTGTTTATTTTATCACCCGTTTAAGATAAAAAAAAACAACAACCCTGGACTGTAAAAACTGACGTCTCAATTTCGTGGAAGTAATACTAAGGTAAAGACTTCAGCACCCTTAGCATGGAAGTCAGCTACAGCCCGATTTTCTGAATAATAAACATGTTAGCTGTTTTAATCTTTGCAATAAATATCTTCTTCATACATCATATGACAACAAATATTACTACTAATAATAAATTCTAAATAAAGCCCATAAAATACTTTAATGTAATATATGATTAAAATAGAGCTACAAGTCTACAGCTGTGCTCATAGGTAAATGCTAATGTTAGCATGCTAATGTGCTAACAATGGTGATGCTAACAAATTCTTAGCGTGCTAGCTAACGCACCAAGCTAGCTAGCTAGACCAAAAAAAAAAGAACAGACTGTTAAAATTGAAGCCTCATTTTAACTGAAATAATACTAAGGAAAATACTTCAACGCCCTTAGCATGGAGGTAAGTTACAGCCTTATTTTTTAAATAACCATGCTAGCATGGTTTCATCTTTGCGAAAAATGTCTTCTTCACACATCATATGACAACAGAAATTACCATTTCTAATAAATTATGAATAAGCCCAAAAAATGTTATTATATGAGTAAAATAGAGTTACAAGTCTACAGCTGTGTTCTGAGCTAATTGCTAACGTCACCATGCTAATACACTAACAGTGGCAATGCTAAAAATTTCTTAGTGTGCTGGCTACCACACTAAGCTAGCTAGCAAAAAACAACCCAAGACTGCTAAAATTTAAGCCTCATTTTAACTGAATTAATACTAAGAAAAATACTTAAACACCCTTAGCATGGAGGTAAGTTACAGCCTTATTTTTTAAAGCTACAAGTCTACATCTGTGCTTGGAGCTAAATGCTAACGTCACCATGCTAATGTGATAACAATGGCAATGCTAACAAGTTCTTAGCGTGCTAGCTAACGTACTAAGCTAGCTAGCTAAAACAAAACAAAACAAGGACTGTTAAAATTTTTCACCTCAATTTCATGGAAATAATACTGAAGAAAAGACTTTAGCACCCTTAGCATTGAGGTAAGCTACAACTCTGTGTGCTGATGTAATATATGATTAAAACAGACCTACAGGTCTACAGCTGTGCTCTGAACTAAATGCTAACGTCAACATGCTAATGTGCTAATAATGGTGATGCTAACTGCTGCTGATAAATGCTGCTTAGCTTGATGGCTAACACACTAAACTAGCTAGCTAAAAAAAAACTGGACTGTTAACACTAAAGTTTCAGTTTCTTGGAAATAATACTGTGGAAACGACTTTAGCGCCCTTAGCATGGAGGTAAGTTACAGCCCTATTTTTTAAATAAGAACCATGCTAGCATCTTTTAATCTGAATAAATACTGACTAAAGACCATAAAATATGTTGATGTAATATATGATTAAAATAGAGCTACAAGTCTACAGCTGTGTTCTGAGATAAATGCTTAAGTTACCATGCTAATGTGCCAGCAATGACAACAAGTTAATGTGTCAGCAATGACAACAAGTTGCTAACAAGTTCTTCACATGCTAGCTAACACATTAAGTTAGCTGGCAAATTAGCTAACACAACACAAAGTACAGCTGAGGTCAGTCGAAAGTTAACTTGTGTTTGAGGTTATTTTGTGATAAACTGAAATATTAAAATATATATTGGGTGATGGTGCTTGAGGAAAAGTTGGAGATCAATAAGGTTAATAATTTATCCTACAATTGGATTAATATCAAATTGCATCATTTTAAAAAGAGCTATTACTGCTAAAAACGCAAGCTATTGGTCTAATCTCTTGGGAAATAATGAAGGAGGCTCAAAAAATTAATATACAAGCTCAATTAAAACAGCTTCAAAGGAGAAAATAATCCATGAGAAAAGTAAAGTGGACATACAGGATGTATAGGATGTCACGTTAGAACGTGGTGTATAGAGTTCAAAGTTTACTGATGTTAAACAGAGACAAAAATATATGACCTGGGTTATATAGGCTATATCTGAGGGGAAAAAGCAAACAGACAGGAATAAACACCTGAAAATATTGATTTCTGACACTGTTAACAAACACGCATAAACGGCCTGATCAAATAAAGTTGAACAAGAATAAACTCTTCAGCTGTTGGATTTAAAAATAATGACTGAAATGAAAAACACATGTACCAGTTTGCAGCAGTCAGCAGAATATTAACAGCATCATTAATCAGTTGATTGGAAAGATTTCTCAAGACACATCTTTTTTTCCCTCTTCTATTTATTTATTCGCTCAGTTTCAGTCACCCATTGATCTCTCACAGTAAATTATGAGATCAGTGAGTGAAAACAGATGTTTGAAGTCGTAGCCTAAGATTTGTTTTTATGAACACTCTAGTCCAGATAATATTTCCACAAAAACTTAGTTAAATTTGAGAGAAACATTTATGACTTTGGTGCTTATTATTTAACACTACAAAGAGCATGTGTTTTTACCTTTTGAAGTTTTTGACTCACTTTGGTTTAGTCTGCAGCAAGACTTTTAGTAAGCATGCTCGTTTTTATCTGGGTCTGCTATTACTTTTTCTCTGAAATATGTTTCTGGGTGCAATGAAATATTAAAATACCTCTATCATATCAATATATCATTATTATAGTTGTATAATATCATAGTTACCTTTAATGTGTAAGTGTGTAAGCTACTGTAGCTTAGGTTAAACATAACTATGTGGATCCTAATCGCTAATTTTAACATTAACCGTTAGCAAGCGCATACACTGATTCTGAGCTTGCTAACGTTAAGCCATTTCAGCCAGGGAGTAGATCACAAAGCTGGCTTCATCTATCTGGTAAATTAAAGTTTGTTTTTTTTATTAATGCAGATGTAACTTACTTTTACGATTACGTCTCTCGTTTAATTCCTACTAACTCACGTTTTATGTAAACTAGAATCACCGCCTCACGTCTGTATGCCTTTGCTAACTTGCCACGTTGCACCTATGGTTTACAGCCATGTTTGTCTTGACTTTTATTGCCATGAATTCAAATAAACACAAGAAGTTTGTGCTCTAATAAAAAAAAAAAAAATAAAATAAAATAAAAAGGGATCAGCACTCAGTGAATAATCCTCCTAAGCCCTACGATAAGCTATTATGGCAAGGCTTAACTATACAGACCCGTGAGCAGTGATAACTAACATGTCTTTGGGGTCATCAGATGGGAACCTCCTTTCACCGGTGTTTCGTCTAGTTAGTCCCACGACACCTCCAGGAGGCTAGACAGTGATCTCTGGCATCCCAGAGACACTCCCCTAATGCCAGGTCTCACTGCTCC